TGGCCTAGCAGAAGTCTGGAGGACGACGTACGGCGGAGTAGACACCGATCAACTTGGCTCGACTCCTCGGAAACGGGCAGAGAGCTCCAATACAGACCTGTCGCCAGAGACGAGGAGACCAGTGTCGAGTGGATTGCGACCTCTGGCTTTGGCTGGTTCCGCGACGATTGCTAGAGACAGGAAGAGTTCGAGCCCTACGGCTAGTATGGCGAGTGATGTTGGGAAAAGACCTTTGGTGGGCGCTACGGCCCCGGGGATGGGAGCTGGGGCAGCTAGCAGGAGAGATCTTGGTGGAAAATTCTGATCTCGGTTTAACGATCTTTAATGAAGCTCATGTGTCTAGATTGTGTATAGCTTGTGTATAGCTTGTTTACAACTCGTCTTCCTACATTCATTTGTTTGTATACAGTATGAGAATAGTGGTGCTTGGTGTGTATACCTGCGCCACTGCGTGCGGAGTAGATGTATGCCCCACATGCCATGTTACAAAATCGAGCGGCTTCACCAAGCCAAGTGATATCACCAAGGACTCGCTTGTCTGTTAGGTTCAATCCCTGGTTGGATTCTGAAAAGGACTTGACCTGGCGATCTCGGGGCATACTGACAGACAAGCTAATGTCACAAAATGGCAAGCAAAAGATGATTGGAACGACGACAATAGGGAGGTGCCTGGGGTGGGTTGTCTAGTTGAGTGACTTGTTTGGTTCCAAATTGGTGTTCGGATGAGCTCGCTGCATTTTGCTTCTGAAAAACAGTACTTGTTTCGCGTGGATCCAGAGTGATACATTCAATCTTATCGAGACTGTCAGAAGGAACAACATGTTCTACAATTACACGAAAATCGGAAAAAAAGTTATAGAAACAAAATCAACTTATTTTAATGTACGTATGGCCGAATCTCAACGTCCATCCCATCCACAACTTAAGCAGCAACGACCTCCTCCCCAGCACTCTCCTCCACACTCCCCAAAATCGCACTCCTCCTCGCCTCAAACTCGGCCTCCATCTGCTTCCTCCGCCACTCCATGTTGACGGCCACCAACCAGCTCTTGATCAAATCCGCATGCTTCCTCCTCAACTCTTGCTGATCCGACACTGACACTGTCAAACCACCCGGCGGCGGGGGCGATACAGTCGATCGCGATCGCGACGAAACCGAAACCGGTGCAGGGGTAGACTCGCTCGAAGACGAAGACGATTCGGCAGGCGCATCCGGCCCAAGCTCCAACCGCTTCACCCCGCGCACAATCTCATCCTCCGTATGCCTCTTTGTCGGTACTTCCTTTCTCGGGCTCTGGGCCCTCGGCGTGCCCAATCCGGAAGCAGTCCCAGACGAAGCAGAGGAAACGCTGCCATGCTGGCGGCAGTGCGAGATGGACTCGATCGGCGGGAGGTCTTGGCCCGGTTCGACGTGCGAGGGCGAGATGGCGGGCAGTTTGAGGTCTGCCTCGGAGATGGTGGGGGAGGTGGAAGAGGGGATGATGAGTGCGCGAACGGGGATCTTGGGCGTATCGCCGCCTTCTTCAGCAATGTCATTGTACGCTGCGTCGTCCCCTTCGTCTTCGTCTTCGTCACCCATATCCGTCCTCTCGGCGCTCTCCCGGGCTCTGTGAGAGACGGCGGTACCGAGCGGCTCGACGTGCCTGTAGGTCTTTTTATAAAAGTCTTTGGAGGCGAGGGTAGCGGTGGGGAAAGCATTCTTGGAGCGGGCGAGCGAGTCGAAAGAAGCGTAATCGTGGCCTGCCGGCTGGTTCCCATGAGACTGGGGGTGGGGAAGGGACATGTCGTTCAAGTTGATGTACTCTTGGTTCTGGGAATATGCGTTGTAAATGTTGGACATGTATGGCTTTTGTTGTTGGCCAGTACCAGCGACAGAATTTCGGGGCAGGTTGGCGATAGGCCGCCTGGTATGGTCGATCGACACGTCCGGCGCGGAATGCGTCCTGCTCCTGACAGTATCCAAGCTGGGATAGAGCCCGCCAAACGAGACGTTCGCAGGGGACTCTCTGTCAGACAGACTCTGAGACAGCCCATGAACGTCGGTGGGAGAATCGTGCGAAGAACCCATGGGGATACCGGGCATACCCGCCAGGCCGAGGGAGGCGAGTTCCTCAGGGTCAAACAAGTCTTCAACCCCACCTTGGTCCGAGAGAGGTGAGCCAGAACTGCTTCCAGCAAAGCCCGGCGTGCGCGAGTCGGAGCCCGAAGACGTACCGCTGCCAGAACCAGACGGCGCCATCGGCTGAGTCTGCGCGCTGTTTGAGGTAGAGGCGTCTCGCCCGAGAGATATCATGAATTCGTTAAACATGGCCAGGTCGGCTTCTGTTTTGATCTGGGGTACGGGGAGAGGAGGGAGGTTGTATGTCGGCTGGGAGGTCAGGTTGGGGTACATGTTGTTGTTGAGAGCGGGTAGAGAGGGGTAAGAGCCGAACTGGTTGAAGCTGTTGTTGTTGAACTGGTTGTAGCCCATGTTGGGCATGGCCGGGTAATTACTCGGCAGAGAAGGAGGTACGAGGGCGTTGAGACGCTGGATCATATCTATGCGAGTGTCAGCAGAGTAAGCACAAGTCACGATATTGCGCACCCTGGTTGTAAACCGGTTCGATCTTTCTCTTCTTCATATCCGCAAGTAATCCCTCCAGCCCGTCCTCCTGCCCCCTCTTGATCCCCTTTGTCCCTCCAAACTGGTCCGCCGCCAGCTGCGCGGCATACGTCTGACTTTGTCGCTGATTAAAAGCCAGCTGCTGGAGCACCAACATTTCCTTTTGCTGATACGCCGCAAGCTCCTCATGCTGCTTCTTGTGCAATAAAGCCAAAGCGCTAGGAGTGGGCGACACCGACTTGTCGTGCGGGAATTGCGGGGCGAGCAGGTGTTCAAAGGGGGAGGACGAGTGCATGCTGTGGGACGAGGAGCTGCTCCTTGGGGAGAGCGAGTGGGACAGCGGGGAGCGGGGACGGTCAGGTCTGGTGGTGGAAGAAAGGGAAAGGCGCGAGTTGAAGGCAGGGTCTGTCGTCGTCGGCGCCTTGGAGAGCTTGTGAAGCTGGTGGTGCTCGGTGGTATGGATACGTTCGTGCTTTTTCAAGTCTTGCGGCCGCTTGAACGTCTTGCCACAGACCGCACATGGATGCGGCTTGAGTGGTGTATGCACTGTTGCCGTCAGCATGATTCCTCGTGAAAGCTATGCACTCACCTCGCAAGTGACTTGTAATGTGGTCACGCTTGACACACTTGACGCCGCAACCCGCCCAGCCACAAGTCAAGCACAGATTATTGGTGCTCTTCCTGCCGACATGCTGATTGCAGAGATGGTCGTACAGGAGATCGGGCGAGTCAGCTTCGTGGGTGCAGTCTGCCCACTTGCAACGCAGTTCGGGGTCTTTGGTGTCGTTGCCACCGGCCGCGGGGGGCGGGGCGTGGGATGCGAGTTCCGGGGTGATGGGTTCTGGGTCGGCGGAGGAGGCGGACTCTGAGCGGGGGAGAGTTGGGTAGGTCATGGTCGCTGTAAGGGCATATGGGAGTGGAGAGGCAAAAGAGAGATTGAAAGAAACGGCTCGAGGGGTTAAGTGAAGCCATGAATCGTCTCGGGATTTTGTGCAGTGAATCGCAGAGTCTGGGTAGCTTGGCGCCAAGATCGTCGAAGGCGCGCAAGAGATTCTAGTTAGGCGTGGGGATAATCGGAGTGCAGGAAAGCAAGAATACGGGGTTAGATCACTCAAAGTCAAATCAATCCGCCACAGCAGCGCCACAGTACAATCTCAATCCAGCGTATCTACAGCTTGTTATGCTATCCAGTGTCGTCGTTCTCTTGCAACAGTTGCCCACAGCAGTGGTAGTAAATTCTCTTGCAACAGTTGCCCACAGCAGTGGTAGTAAACGTTCTCTTGCTTCATCGGCGATATCTTGCAATAACCGTTTCCCTGACCCGGAGTTACGTACCCCCCTCTTCAAGTGTTCCTGGTCAGTCAGTGTGGCACTTGACCAGCTTGGCTTGGCCAGCTCGGCACTACAGATCTGCTTGGCTGGGAGGTACGTTCAGATGATCTTGCTTGAGCGTGTTGGAGGTTCTGTGGCAGGGAAGCGTGAGCTCGGAAAAAACGAAACTTATGGGGTGAGCGCGGGGAAAGCTGATGGCCTCGGTCGTTGTACCATCCCTCTTCCTATGGATCTGAACGTGGGTCCCGCGGAAGAGGTCGGGAGATCGCAAGTACTTGGCAGCACGAGGTTGAAACAACACCTCAAGGCCTAGAAAGCTCACGTTATGTTTAGAGATTGTAGCATAGGAGGCATGACGATGTGATATACAAGTTCTTGGGTTCCAGTACCACACCGCCCCCCGAGTCTTTCCTCCAGATCTGCCACCACCCCGCCATGGTTGCCTGGTCGTGACAACAAACGTGCCACTATAGTACAAGGCAATAGTTACATTTCATTTGCAAGTCGGCATTGTGCTGCGACAAACAACCGTTTGCGGCCCGACCACTGCATGTGGGATGCTGTAAAGCAAAGTGAAGTTGACTTTTAGTTGACTGAGAGTCAGAGCGAGTTGCATGTCAGCTCAACGGTATGTAGGCGTCCACGGGCGTCCACAACACGATTTAAAGAACTATGCCGTATCTATACATGACGTCCTGTGCTCAAACTTCTGCAGGCGCCGGAGATACAGTGCGGGAATGAAAGAGAAGATAAGGGCGAGATAGGCGAGGTATCATTCAACGTCCTTTCAGTTGCCACGTCACTTGACCGCTTTATCCAGCCATTCGCTTGTCCACTCGTCAATCAGCGTCAACAAACCATTCGCAGCCCAGCTCCACCGCTCCATATACCTCGCATGCCCCTCTGGTCAACCAACTTCCTCTTTCGGCGACAGTAAGCGTTTGGTCACCGCCCGCCGCCGTCATGGGGTTACGTAACCACATTTATCTCGTAATGTGACGTCCTTGTTTGATGATATTTGCTTCCGTCGTCCCGGGAGACGCAAGAGGTAATCCATTCCACTGCGCTCATCTCCTCTATCATTCCAGAATAATTCAAGTCCCCCTATAGAGGTATGTCCCGGGTGGCGAGGGAAGACGGTGCGGAAACTGACCACCGCGGACTGCAGCTTGATAACACGCGCCGACTCGCCCGAAGAGCACAAACCACGCACATCAATCACAGGGTCGTCCTCGCTCCCTCTTTCGCTCCTACACATGGCCCTGCCATCGCCGGCGTCTAGCTGAAGTGCCCCACCCCATCCGCCACTTTTCGTCCGCCTTCTTGTGAATATCCACCACCCAGCAATCTTTTCAACCCAGACCGAGAACTCGGGCGCCGTACGCTTTCCCTTACCCAACGTCACTCGCTACTCCGGCCCCCTCGAACAAAACACCCCTACATGACCCTCTTATCGCGCCCATCGAGGTCGTACGCCACTGTCGACCACGACCCCGACGGTCTCGCCGGTATCGGCTCAGCCCCCGGGGCGGGCGCATCCACCTCGGGCTCAGTTCTGGGATCAGGCGGTACGCGTCGGGGATCGGGTTCCCAGGTTGGGCGAGATTCTGGCAGCGCGCTCGGCGGGGTGCATGTGCTCAAGAAGGGCAGCAAGAAAGGCGACGGTTTCAAGACATATCGACCTCGTACGCATCTTCCCCTCTTGAAACACCCATGCTAAAAAAGGCTAACCCTATGCTCAAGCAATTTCCGAAACGCATCTCCGACGCTCACTTGGGTATGACCCGCACCCCACGTCGTCTTTCGCCCCTTTGCCGAGTGCGTTCCAGTCGTCGAGGGTGAAGAAGGAGGCAGCGCTGGCGGGACAGAGGGCAGAGGCTGATCATCTTCTTGCGCCGGGGTATAATGAAACCCGGCGGACGGCTGGGGGTCTTGCTGGAGGTCTGAGGGGGAGCTCAAGTCAAGCGAGCTTTAACCCGCCTCATTCTGCGAATTCCGGAAGGCGACAAGCTGGAGTCTACTTGGATTCGTACGGCAAGCTGCACGATACCGAGTATGACCCGTTTGCCGGGCTGACAAACATTTCTCGCGACAAGTCTCGCCGTCGGTCAGCCTTTGGAAAAAGTCGGCGCTCGTCTGTCTCGTCAGATTCTTCTTCATCGTCTGCTGAATCTCAAGCGAGGAGGCGCCAGAGTCATGATACGATGCGTTCTGTGCGGGACGAGGAAGAAGTCCGTCGGCGGTTGCGGGAGAAGGAGCGCGAGATGGAAAAGCAGCGGGACGACGTTTCGCTATATGTGCAGAGACGGCGAAGTATCATGTCGGAGAGGGAGAGAGAATGGACGGGACGGGGTTCGCCTTCTATCAGGTCGATTGAAGAAGGACCGATGGGTTCGGGGCAGAGTTTCATGACCGGCCGGCGATCCCAGGCCAACCACTACTACCCCTCTCCTCTATCGCCCCAGTTTGCCGGGCCGTCTTTCGCCAATAACCCTTCTACGGCATCGAACGCGTCTACTCGCACGCCCAATACGAGTACGTTCTCTGGTATCAACGGTGAAGGCACCCCGCCTGAAAAGATCTCCGAAATGACTCAAGCCAAATCGCCTGTCCAAGCCCTCGCTCCTCCTCCTCTCATATCTGAACCGCCGCCCAAAGAGAGAAAAAAGAGTAAAGTCGAAGTGCGGGATGGTGTGACAAAAGTCATCGGCTTTGACGGCCCCGCTCAATCTCTTTCGCCTCCGACGGACCAGCTTGGGAGTCTTTCGCTCCAGTCACCAGACCCTTCTTCGGGGCTCACACCGCCTCCGCCTATCTCTGCTAGCGCTTCGGTGACGTCGAGAGGTTCGATGGATATGCCCCGTTCCCCTCGACCACCTGGTGAGCCTGCACGGACCCGGCACCCCACACGGACCGCAAGGGATGACATCTACCCCGAAACCCCCGCCCAAACCAAGCGTCGCCAAGACAAGGAACGCCAGCGCATCCTCTCTGGCGCACACCACCCCTCTCACATCTCATCCCACCACGCCCATACGGGCAAGCCGTCGCCGCTTGCGATCAATACGAATCTCGCGCCGAATGGGGAGAGGGTGTTGCCCGAGATTGAGATTGTGAGCGATGATGATCCGAGGGTGGTGGTGCCGAAGGAGGGAAAGACGACGAGGGTGCAGAGGGTGCATGATCATGTGATCCGGAACCCGCTCCATCACCACTCGCGCAAGACGTCTCAAGCGTCCAATTCGACGCTGGGCACGCTTCCGCTCCCGCCGACTATGCCTGCTGCTGGTGGGTATGGTTTGTCAGGTTCGTCTTCGTTGAATGACCTGAATGGGAGTGGTAAGGCGAGGAGTACGACGGGAAGCAGAGGTGGGGGAAGCAGTTTCATGGAGGAGAGTGGAGGGTATCTGCCCTCGAGGTGGGCGCAAGGTGATAAGAAGTTGAGAAAGACGGAGGAGGAGAGGGAGGCGTATAGGCCGAGAGAGTGGGGAGAGGAAGAAGGAACCTGGCAGTGAGTCCTGCTCTTGACCGTCATTCGAGTAAAATCTGACGTTTGTAACAGTCCGACCGCAAAGGATCAAGTGAAGCGAAACTTTAAAGACATTGCGACCAGTGCGAGGTTCAGTCTCTACCGTACCAAAAAGGCGTTGATGAGGAAGGCGGAGCTGTGAGCAGGAGTTTGAGAGTCGTCCTTACTGCCGAGGACGAGAAGAGTTTGAAAGTGGTGATACATGTGGATACAAGTATACCCCGTATCCCAAGACAAGAGTTCTTCTTACTATAGCATACTTTACCAATACACGAATTGTTTCCCCTCTTTCCTCAGAAATTTATCAATCTCTTTATGGTACTCCACATATTGTTGTGTTTGGCTCAGTTGTACCATCATCTTTTTCCTCTTCATATATCTATATACAACTCTTTCTGCTCGTACATGTATTCATCCGTTGGTCGTAGCTCAGTGATATGACATGGTTGAGAGAGAGGCGATGAGATGGCGATGGACAGCAGGATCATGCGACTAGTTGACGGATGACCAGAAGTTGCCCACTTGAGGCCGAAAGCTCGACACGACCAAGATGCATCACAAGAAGTATCATACCACGTCGTAGAGATAGTACAGGCTGGGCTGTTTACAACGAGTACGATAGACAAGACAGACATGATACACGAGGTCGAAGAATTAGGAGATAAAGAGGCAGCTTGTATGGCCAATACAAGCAACGTCTTGGTGGAGTCGATAAGCGAAGACTTCAACATGTTCAGCATGGGACAAAGCGGGTGCAAGAGGAGGCTACATACTTGTAAAAGACAGGACGAATGATCGCCGGCGCAAGGTGATGATCCTGAGAATGAGCGCGCAAAGATGATGAAGGCACGGCGGATCGTGACAACATCCATGTACCACGTCTGCCATGACATGCAGAGGATAGTACGGTAGACCTTTCCACCGTCGGCGGAAAATCCATCCGCCGCCGGCGGAAGGGTAGACCTCTTGCGAGGCATATTGGCCGAAATCAGCTTTACTGAGAACGGCTTACACTTCAGGACGTCAGTCAGTGGTCTACAACTCGTCGATGACATTCCCCAAAGAGGGATCAATGCAGACGAGGGTAACTCACAACGACGGTCTAGGACGATCATCTGTACTGTGAGGTTCATCAGCAGTTGACAAGATATCCCTGGGAGGGTGTTCGTACTTTACTCATTACAGGTGCGCCGCCGCATTTCGCGTACACGGGTGGCCTGTATGAAAACTATGATGAGGACATCAGCATCACATATTGTTTCCATACCGCAAAAGACTCACAATCTGATCCTCTTTGAGGACTCGCTAGTAAAGATATCAGTCAAGAGGTTGACATTGGGGAGAACAAGAGCGCTCACATTCAATTGAGCGTATAATGTAAAACGATTGCCACCATCTGGAGGTCAAGTCGTCCGACGACGCTATCCCAATCTGAGAACACAAAATCAGTCAAGTGAGTGCGAGACCATAGACAGCTGGTCACATACACCATAGTATTATGGCAAGGCACTAGATTGTGAAATTAGCTCAGCCATGCGACCATCAGATGGTGGTCAACTCACTTCTTGTCTCAACCCGGATATTCCGCGAGGAGATACTTAACGTGGCCCCAGCTCAATGAAGCAAAAGGGCCACGGACCCCATTGATAATAGGTGCGGGAAGAGAGAAAAGTCAGCGGAATCCTGCTTATATACATGTAAATGGCGGGAAAGTGTTTCCCATGGCATGACGTAAACTGTAAACTATGCGGCCTTTGCGGGTAGATGAATGTGTGGCTCTTGGTTGCTCCGATAAGATAAGCAAAAGGCTCCGTACTGGTATATTAGAGCCTTTTATACTGTGGAGGGGGTTGGAGCCGTGAGCTTCCAACGAGCAGGCCTTTGCTGGTAAGCGGAGTGGCGTCGGCCGGAAGACGGGCCGGATCCGGCTCACAGACTGGGGCTGGTCAACATGTACAGCTTTTGAAATTCCGCCTACATGTACCGTCTCTATAATCATATCCGAGGCCTGCGTATCCGTCTGCACTCCCGAGGCATGGAGGAATGCGGAAGAACCAGCTAGATCATTCAACATGGCGATCCGGCGGCGGTCAGCGCCGGATCCTATCAAGCGCGGTAGGCAAAGCCGATCTGCGATTGGCTGGCCATTGAAGCCGGTTACGTAACGCCACCCTCGTTTGCTTGTTTTTTTGGTCGGCTTTGTGCGATTTTCGTCGAGTCAGCCAGAGAACAATTACTTGGTTTCATTCCTCTTCTCAACTCTCCCAAGAACAAAAATGTGTGGTATCTTCTGCTGCTACAACAAGACCGGCGACATCGCCTCCTACCGAGCCCGAGCTATCGCCTGCTCCAAGAGGCAGCGACACCGTGGTCCCGACTGGTCCGGTTGCTACATGGCCAACAACACCATTCTCGTCCACGAGCGATTGGCCATTGTCGGTGTTGGTAAGTGCTCTTCCTGCTGTCAACTGTGTCTATGGCGCAACGCATCGTCTCCTTTTGCGTTGCGCCGCGCCAGAGATAAGACTCCAACATCAGTACATCCTTTGGTTCAGGGCGCTGATCGATAACGCCACAGACACCGGAGCTCAGCCCCTCACCAACGAGGACGAGAGCCTTGTCCTCGCCGTCAACGGTGAAATCTACAACCACGTCGCCCTCAGAGAAAGCTTGAAGAACAAGGATGCCGTTTTTAAGACCCACTCTGACTGTGAGGTCATCATGCACCTTGTGAGTGGCGTCTTGCAATTGGGGACTGGGCTGACGCTATGACAGTACAAGGAGCACGACACCGGAGTCTGCAACATGCTCGACGGCATGTTCTCTTTCGTCCTCGTCGACAAGTCTGTCTCTCCCCCTCGACTTCTCGCCGCCCGTGACCCCATCGGTATCACCACCCTCTACATGGGCTGGCACTCTTCCGCTCCCGAGACCCTCTACTTTGCTTCCGAGCTCAAGACTCTCCACGAGGAGTGCGACAACCTCCAGGCCTTCCCCCCCGGACACTTCTACGACTCCAACCAGAAGAAGCTCGTCCGATACTTCAACCCCTCTTGGTGGGATTCCGACAAGGGAGAGGTCCCCCACAACCCTGTCGACTACACCCAACTGAGAGAATCCCTCGAGGCCGCTGTCAGGAAGAGGTTGATGTCCGAGGTCCCCTACGGTGTATTGCTTTCCGGTGGTCTCGACTCTTCTTTGATCGCTTCCATTGCTGCCCGAGAGACCGACAAGCTTGCTCAGGAACAAGAGAAGCTGAGACAAGAGAGGAGGGAGGCTATCGCTGCTGGTCAGGATGTCCCCGAGGAGCACACCTTGGCCTCATGGCCCCAACTCCACTCTTTCGCCATCGGTCTCCCTGGAGCTCCCGATCTTCTCGCTGCCCGAAAGGCTGCCGACTTCCTCGGTACCATCCACCACGAGTACACCTTCACTGTCCAGGAGGGTCTCGATGCTATTGAGGAGGTCATCTACCACCTCGAGACCTACGATGTCACCACTGTCCGAGCTTCTACTCCCATGTACTTGCTGAGTAGGAAGATCAAGGCTATGGGTGTCAAGATGGTGTTGTCTGGTGAGGGTTCCGACGAAATCTTCGGTGGTAAGTCACTCTCAACTGCACTTTGAGATGAGTCTGATCATTTCTAGGTTACCTCTACTTCCACGCTGCTCCCAACGCCCAGGACTTCCACGAGGAACTTGTCAAGCGAGTCAAGAACCTCCACACCGCCGACTGTCTCCGAGCCAACAAGTCTACCATGGCTTGGGGTCTCGAAGCCCGTGTCCCCTTCCTCGACAAGTCTTTCCTTGAAGTCGCCATGAACGTCGACGCCAAGTACAAGATGTTCTCCAAGGGCACACATCAGGAGGTTGACGCGGAGGGCCGACCCAAGATGGAAAAGTACATCATCAGGAAGGCGTTCGACTGCTCCCCCGGTGGCAAGGCTTACTTGCCCGACTCTATTCTCTGGAGGCAGAAGGAACAGTTCTCTGACGGTGTCGGTTACTCTTGGATCGACGGGTGAGTACTCTTTACTTCTTTACTTTACCCTGCTGACGACGTCAATAGCATGAAGGACCATGCCGCCAAGGTCATCTCTGACGAACAATTCGCTGCGCGAGCTGAGCGATGGTCGCTTGACACCCCCGACACAAAAGAAGCCTACTGGATCCGTGAGACCTTTGAGCACCACTTCCCCACCGAAGCTGCTGCCAAGACTGCTGTCCGATGGATTCCCAAGCAGGAGTGGGGTGTGTCTTCCGACCCCTCAGGTCGTGCGGTGTCTATCCATACTGCCGCCTACGGGGAGAAGAAGCAGTAGAGCGGTGGCTCAATGTATATAGAGCGGTTAGAGAAAATCATCATTGGCATCCTCATGGCATTATGCAGTCGTCTCTCTAGTCTTTACATCTTTCACTCATTTGCGAATTATCTACATTGATATTGCGACTACATATTTAGACCTTCGCGATGATCCGATCGAGTTGACTCTCGACATCCGCCCAGTACTGCTCACCCCTGGATCCCGTTTTCCCCAGCTTCGTCAGAAGGACCGTTATCTCCTGCTTATCCACACCGTACCTCTTCGCAAGCGCCTCAACCTTCTCCTTATACCTGGCCTTGACCTTTTCCATCACCGATTGACCTTTCTGGAACATTTCTGCCCTCTCGGCCTCGTTTGCAGGGACATGACGGGGTCTGGGCGGGACGGGAGGTTCGGCTGGAGGGCCAGGCGGGGTGGACAGGGTGGATATGGGTGGTCCACGGACATACTCGTAGGTATTGCTACCACCCGCATCCACCATTTCCAACTCGCCATCCTCTTCCGTACTCGTCTCATGGCCACCACTTCTGGCCCCCGCACTTTTCCTACCACTTCCTGGTGTAAACACCCCCGACAACCGATCCAACGTCCTTCTCCTCTTGATCGCACTCCCCGCAATCTGTTCTTGCAGCAAAGACCGTCTTGGCCCGCGACTCTTTTTCCGGGCATTGGCGATGGCCGCAGGTAAGGGCGAAGCCTTGGGAATGTTGGAGTCTGTTCCTTTCGGGATACTTCGAGACCCTGGCCCGTCAACAGATGGACCATTGCGAGGAGTAGTTGGAAGGTTGACACTGGGGTTGAGAGGGGAAAGGCGTGTGGCCCTGGTACGGATGAGCTCGGAGGCAGGACGAATATTGGTGGGCGGGGACGGTAGAGCTTGTCTCGGAACGGACTGAGACGGCCCTGTCTCGACAATGCGCACTTCTTGTGCTACGATAGTATTCGTCACCTCCAGGCGTTGAGATGAGACCGTTGGGCTTTGTTCAGCCAACCCCGTGAGATTCTCGACGTCTTCGTCGTCACCCGGTGCAGTGCTGGCTTCAGAGAATCGAGACCGCCTGGACACTGCTACCCGGGGAGAAGTAGTTTCATCTTCGGCAGGACGAGAGGGCTCGGCGGCCATGACTTTCTCGGCGGTCGGAAAACTTTCAAATATCCCAGGCTCGACTCCCACAAAGTCGATGCTTTCTTCCTCTCGCTGCTCTGCTCTACCAGTATGTCGACCTGGCGAAGTGTAAGGACTTCTCTGGGGTAGGTCGATATCAGGGGAGCTTGAGGGCGACCTGCGAGATTGCCGGTCATAGGCTTGATTTTCAGCGGGTGAGGCATCTGGGCTGAAGAAAAGCGGTTCCTTCGGGACATTGTCGGCCTGGGAAGCAGCGGCGATGGACGAACGTCCGGTCCGTTGGCCCGCCCCGTCGTTTGTGGCCGCATTCTCGTCAGAAGCCTGCGAAGAAGGGACGAGAGGAGAATTGCTGTCATCGATAGAAGCGGGAACGAGCTCTTCCGCAGGCTGGCGCTCGGGAATAGATTGGGAAGGACGGATTGGACTTGAGGACGCAGCACGGGGTGCTTCATCGCGCAAGGGAGGTACCACTGCAGATTGACTCGGCGTCGCTTGACTCGTTGTAGCTTGATTTTCGGAACGACCCGGGGTAGGGATTTTTGAAGGAGTTCGAGACTTGGTTGGAGACCCTGTATTATCCTCGTCATCCGAAAGAGCAATCTGCCGCTTCTTCTTCTTGACCGGTGTCTCTCTCGCTGGCGAATCTTCCTGTAGACGCTTGCCGTTTCCTTTTCCTACCACAACAGACGGCCCCGCCTCTGGAGCGACTTCTCCATCACTTGAATCGAGCTGATCTTCTTCATCGCTCGGTTCTTGCACCTTTGAGACCCGCCGCTCTGCCTTAGTCTTGAGCGATTTATCGACGCCTTCACGAGCGTATCGATGCACACGTTCTTTGAGAATGTGGCCCTTCTTGCGGAAACGCTCGTGCCAGGATTGCGGTGGATGGCGGGCAGCAGTCGGGTATCGCGCACTGTCTGCGGCCTTTTGACGCTATCAGCGGGGAACCATACAAATGGGAGGTGACTTACGAGCATTTCATATGTCTTGCGACTCGACAAAGACCCTGAACTGCCAAAGTGTGCCGCCAGCCAGCGACACAAGAAGTCATCGTCATCGGGCGTGTAATCTACCCTTGCTCTGCTCTACATCAGACTCCGTCTTCGTCGTTGCAATATGAAAGACACTCACGCCCCCACAGGTCTCCCGGGCCCTCTCTGCACGAGAGGCTCATCCCCAAAACTCTCCTCCCCACTATCTTCCTTCTGATCATGCTTTGCACGCCGCCACCCCATCTTGCCCGTACGAAGACATCCATTCACCCAGCTCCTCTCCACAAATCTCTGCCAGCTTCTCCCAGCCTTCTTATTCTCCGCTTTGGCGACCTTGTAAAACTCGGTGCTTTTCTCGATAACGAGAATGTCGGCGTCCGCTCGTTTTGAGACAATGAGTGCGCCATGGAGGAGCAAGTCGCGTGAACAGTTATGTCTGGCTGCGCGTCCATCTTCCTCTCCGTTATTTCTTAACAGATTGAGCGACACATAGGCCCTCAGAGGGCGCCAATCCTCCGACCTCGCAGGGTATATGAACAGCGGTTTCTCTGGTCTCAGATCTGTCAACGTTGTGTGCCGTCTCTGGTCTTTGCACCAAGCGAGCCAGTGGTATGGGTATATCTTGGGCTCGGAGTGGGCGTTGGGTTGGAACAGGTGTGGGGAATCGCGGAAGGATTGGTGGGAGGGGTTGGTGAGGAGGATGGTGGATGACTTTTTATCGGTGGATACGGTTGCGCCCAGTTCCTGCTTTGTATGTCAATAGGTGATCAGGGATGGGAAGAGGTATAGACGTACTTGGATCATGCCATGGATGAGGTTCACTACGAGCGCTGAGAATTGTCCCTGCGCCAGACAAATGGACTCTCCCGCGAGTACATCTTGGAGGGGAGTTGGTTCAGACATATCTTGCTGCACGATTCGAGCTGAAGGGGCCTAGATGACATGTCAGAAGCGATTCGAGAAAAGGCACCATCAGAGACGCATACTCACTTGTTGATGAAGCTCAGCTGTCTGTGGAGGTGAGCCGAATGGTTGTTTCTGAGCAGGCAGGTACCCTAGCTGGGCAAAGCACCAAGAGTATATCTAGTTGGAGAGACAGACAGTTGATCAGACGCGTTCAAAGAACATGAGAGAGAGAGAGGTGGTTGACGGGACCACAATTGTTGATCCCAACACTCAGGTACCGTTACGTAACCTGTTCATCTCTTCACAGGGGGAAGAAGAAGAAGGTTGAGTGATCGTCCTTGGCACGGAGTACCTAGGCCTGCTGCATGGGCTTGTGGGGAACAAATCGGTCATAGGGTATTGTTTCCAGTCTATTCCATGCTCTGAGGTACGCTGCACATACGGGAAGGCCCCAGCAGGGCGGATATCTTGCTCACCAAGGGGTGTCACTCTTCTTCTTCTTCGCTTCAGTCCTGGGGTGAAGTCGTCGCTCAATTGCTTGCGAGGCATATCCGGGAACCGGGAACCATCTGAAGGAGTAGTCTTACATTTACTGACAGTGATTGATCGATCGGGTCGAAGAGGGCAACATTGATACAACGACCCACAAGCTCATGACCAACATCGAGCCCCACCTCCACCAAACCCCAGGGACTGAGGCACATGCTCAAAGTCTCGGATTTCATGCCGACTTCATGATATATATCTACAGTGGCCCTGCACTGCACGTGCTTTGAGGATGGGATGGGGAATGATTGGGGCAGTTTGACGTGGCAGACTTGCTAATAAAGGCCTTGTCGGAGAGCTTGATGCTGCTGGGCGGTAGACGACATCATACGACAAGATGAACTTTATAAGAATGGTCGTCTAAGAAGGCTCTCATTAGGAAGATGCCTAACCCTGTTTGACATGAACGTGCTCACAGCTGCTGCTGGATACTGCTGATCGTCTGTCAACATTGGTGCATATGAACATATGCACGATACTCCTACATACAGCAGTGCATGGTGAACTTGCGGCCGGATCAGATATCAGAGCGCGCTACAGTACGTACGAGGCTGCGATCACCACAAGCTTTAGCGCCGAGTGCAAGTCATATGGGCGAAACGTTGCAGAGGCTCCTCGCTCCGACTGGCTCCAACAAGCGGTTCCAGGAAACGGTCGATAAGCTCACGGCGGACGGTCAGATGGCGGAGCTCTGCGCACCGAGGGACCCGCTCTCTCGCGTGGTCCTTAGGGGGGTCTAAGAGGGATCACTCCATCTCCATCTCCGCCATCGTGCTCCACTTGATGACAACTTCTCATGCTACCATCCTGAACTGCGAAACCCATTCGCGGCGTCCTTCGGAGAAATCCGCCGGATGCCGGTCCACCGGCCGGCCAATGCCAACCAAAAATAAAAATCACTCACCTCGTCTAGACACTCTCTCGGCCGCCGTTGCCGTATGTCAGGAAAAGGCCACTTCCCTTCCTTCCTAGCTCGTGATTTGTGCGATTTTTTGGTGCGGCACCGGCAGCGCACCTGACGAAAAAAAGAGACTGCTTGTTTATCGCTGATTATTATTGGTACATAGAGTTGCCGAAGCGCAGAAAGCACGGCCAATGGCGAGGATCACGATGTCCGAGATGCAGGGTGCGTCATGTATGTCCTTCAACATGGGCTCTTTGTGGTTGTGTTGGGCGTGTTTGCTGAGTATAACGCAGTGCAGTCGCAGAGGCGGCACACGTGCGATTCCTTTTCGGCACACGCACTGCATGAATAGGGAAGGGTAACTTTAACAAACTGACGAATGAGATTCGCCGAAGGAGTGTGACGCAGATCAGATCTCCAGCCCGGCGGCCATGTTCTGTCATCCAAGAAAACTCGACCTAATCGAGGTTTCGTGTCATCCAACTTTGGAACGTATGATGCACCTACATCATCGCTCGCCTCCTATACATAGAACTCGGGGATCAACGACCGAGCTGCCTTGTCCTGACGATCTTTGATCTTTGCCGCTGCAAAAGGCAAGTGTCCCAACCAACCCTTCTGCGCGCACCTCGGCAGATAGATGATGTCTAATTACGGGTAAAGGGCGGAAGGAAGAAGGGCAAGCCATTAGCTGCCGTCATCCGCAGGGCGGATGAGATAAGCGGCTCATGATGAATGCATCGGGGGCGTAGATGCATGCACAGGTAGCAGCGGCTGGGGGTGGGGGCTGACGACAGCAGCTGCTGCATGGGTACGAGCATGTGGCAGCACTTGCAGAGAAGGTAGAAGAACGGGATGGAAATAGAAAGCGCGGGCGGGAGGGGGAGAGTTTGATTTTGAGTCGCGCGGGCAGGAGGCACCGCCACTAACACCTTCCCAATCGGGAAATGCCACACGGCCCTGAATGGGTGCGCAGGCCCGTTTCCTGCGCCGAGTACTTATTCCCCATCCATTTCCATCTCCATTTCTCTTTCTTTCTTCAACAATCTTCTCGCTTCTACAAGACTCTGCCTGCCTCTGCCCACCCATCCCACCACCCAATCACATCTACAATGCACGCTGCCTCTTACGTCGCCATCGCCGCCGCCGCCGCCGGCTCTGCCGCTGCCCTCTCCATCAACACCCCCGTACGTCCATCTCTCTCATCTTGGTGGGAGCGGCAACACAATCCCGGGCATCTCGCTGACTCTCTTGCAGGCTTCCCTCGTCCAGTGTCGTACGTTTACCTTTTCGCTTGGCGACAACAGTATCGGAGACACTCGCACGCTCGAGCCGTCTTTCAGCAATCTCACTCCTTTGTTTTCACAGTCAACTGACATTCCCTTTCACAGAACCCGCTCAGCTTTCTTGGACTGACGGCACCGCCCCCTTCATCATGTATGTCTCCACCTCTTCCCGGGATGTTTTGCGCAGTCGCAACCCACTTCGGCCAAGACGCTCGGTCATGTTTGGGCATCTGCTGACCATCCTTTAGTGCCGCCATCCCCGGTGCTGAGGTCTCTTCTGCTGCCATCGAGACCATTGCCGACTCTCAGGAGTCCAGCCCCTTGACCTGGACCGTCAACCTTGCCTCTGGTACGTTGCCCTTTTTTAAGGTTTTTTCCCACTCGGCCTGACACTTGTCATAGGCACCAACATCACCGTCAAGATCACCGACTCTACTGGTACCATCGGCTACTCTTCCCCCGTCGTCATCCAGGCCGGTTCTTCCGACTCTTGTTTGAACGCCACCGCCTCTACCAGCGGTCTCTCTTCTGCTTCCGTGTCTAGCACCGGCTCCAGCTCTGACACCGCCGCTGCCGGTGGTGCCGCCGCTACCACCGCCTCCGACTCTGCCTCTTCTTCCGAGTCCTCCTCTGCGGACAGCTCTTCTGCCTCTTCTACCGCCGAGTCTTCCTCCGCCTCTTCTTCCGCCTCTTCCTCTGCCGCCTCCTCCACCGCGGCCTCTTCTTCTGCCACTTCGGCCAAGTCTTCGTAAGTCGCTTCTCTCCTCACTCTTCGGAGCTTCGTTGACTTCTCGCCAGCGCCACCTCTGCTGCCTCTTCCAGCGCTGCCGGTGCCGCTTCCTCTGCCACCTCTGCCGCCGCTTCTGCTGCTTCCAGCAGCTCTTCTTCCGGTGCCTTCGCCAAGGCCGTTGTCGGTATCCCCGCCCTCGCCGCTGGTGTCTTCGCCGGTGTCCTCGCCTTCCTCTAAACAATTACTTTCTTTTGAGGTTGGAGTGCTGAGAACAATATTCATTTACCAGGAAAAAATACACATATACGATATAACGGATTCCATAACTCTGTTCATTTGCTGAATTCGTTTGGTCAAAGGGACTTTTCTTTCTCTCTTGTTTGTTATTACAGTTGCTATCCCTAATAATGCGCCGGTCACGATGCATCTCATCAAATCTACTTTCTTGGTGTCTTGTTGCAGCTTGGGGTTGATGTTTGGCTGTTTGAGAGCCAAGCAACGGGAGCGGCGAGCACAGCAGTTTCTCGGCGCGGAATCAATATTGCGCCGCTGTTCCGCAAGATCAGTCGCGTCCAAGTCGAGACCTGATCGAGAGCTAAATGATTCCCGTTACAGCGTTGCCTCTTTTGCAGCCATTGTCGACCTGCAGGTATCTGGAACGATCTGGTCAACAACAGGACGGCACGGCAACGCATTCAACACGGACAGCAAGACGATAATGAGCTATCAGCCCCCTCATCTACGAACTCGAGCCCCACCGATTGCTGCTGGCCCATCCTCGTCAAACGTGGATAGCGGGAGGGGTGGTAGAGGACTGGGAGTGGACGGGAGATGGCTGGAAGCAAATTCCAATGGACCTGGAGCTAGCCGAGGACGAGGCGGTATGACGACCGGTGCTGCTGGTATGGGGATGGGCATCCGAGGCCGCGGGGGTTCGACAGCGGCGAGACCGCTTGCTGTGCCCAGTCGAGTGTTACCCGAACGCTCATCGGCCATACAAGCCCCGAGAGAGGAAGGCCGCATCCAGCCCCAGCCGTCTCGTAGAGATTGGTCTGCGCCCACACCTTCAGTGTCCCTCCCGCGGCAATCTCAGCCTGCCTCTCAAACCGCCCCGTCACCTTCTCCATATGCGTCGCCGCGCCGTGTACCGGGAGGACAAGGTTTGCAAGCTCCTGCGTCCGATATCAAGCCGATGCGCGTAAGGGAGAAGGATAGTAAGGAGAGAGAAGAAAAACGAGAGATGGAGATGGTGCAGAGTGTTTCCAGGAGTGGGGGCGATGGGGCTCAGGGGGATGCGTGAGTGATCCCTCTTCTTATCCTGATTTCGAGCATGGTACTATGTGAGAGGATGGAGCTGATGGAGGGCTGTAGGTTGAAAGATTGGGGGACGCAAGATCGGTATAGGGCGTATATCTCGACGCGGGTGGACGCGCATTATGACAAGTATGCGACGCCGAGGGATGAAGCTCCGAGCAAGAAGGGGAAGGAAATTGCAGGTGAAGGTGAGGGGGAGGAGTTGGAGAGTCTGGGGAGTATTGTGTTGCTGTTCCGTAAGTTCTGTTTTCGTATTGGGTTGGAACGTGACTGACGAGTCTTGGGTGTAGGTAAGCTGCGAGAAGGTGTTGTAGCTTCAGGCAGGATCGATGACTTTGCTATCGAAGGTGAGTCTCTTGCTGTACGCGTGTCGACATGATCGAACAATCGCATATGCAGTCTTCGAGTCTTCCGCCAAATTCGCTCTCCTCGCGCAAAACAAGGCGCAGCTCCTCTCCTCCCTCAGCGGCCTCGTCCCCGGGCTATATCAAGCCCACGACAACCTCCCCACCTCTTCCTCCCCTGACGATACACTATCAAACCACCTAAACGCCCTCACCCTGACCCCCAGAGACGGCAGAACAGAGTTCACCGTCATCCTCCTCATATTCCACCTCGTCACTCGGGGGCATGTTGCGTTCAACGAGCTCTACGCTGAGCTTACCCGTGCTCCTCGCTTGAAGGGAGATGGAGGGGAGAGGAAGGGGTTTGTGGGGGAGGAAGAGTTGGGGTATGTTCGGTTGGCAGCGAGGGTGATGGCGGAAGAGAATTTTGATTCAGTCACATTCTTCCGCCTCCTCTCACCTCCCGCATCAACGACTACGACCTCTCCCATCCCCTCCTCTGGGGCCCCGGAGGGGGCCAGGCTGCCCGAGAGTACGAGCTACCAACGTATCCTCCTCTCCCGCGCTTCTCCGGCTATCCGCGATAGAGCTTGGGAGAGGTTGAAGAAGGCGTATATGAGTGTAGGCGTGGATTGGGCTGGGAGAGTTTTAGGGCTGGAGCTGGGTGGGGAGGTTGAGAAGTGGGTTGAGGAGAAGGGAGGGAGGGTTGAAGGTGGGAAGGTTGTGCTGAGATGAAGCGGCGCCAGTATTTGGGTCCAAAGATTGGGATTTGGTTGGTCCCCCAGGTTTTGTACGTCTATCCATACACTGTGTGCTTGAGTGACACTGACGATCAGTGGCAGTGAGCTGTTCGTATCCATGTGTCGAATTACGCGCCCGGAACACTACCTCACGCACGCCCACGATCCGAGAGTACTCGGATGACCCCTTTGTTCGCCCGACCGGGTTCACCTTATACTGGCTCTCTCTCGGATCGCAAGACTCGCCTGTACGATCGACCCCCAAGAGACGTAGCACTTCGAGCGAGGAATTGTCTCGGCTTGCCCGTCTACATGTACCACCTCATTCGGCCATCTGTCTGCAAGTTGAATGACCCGGCGAGACGCTACGACCGTCAAACCGACATTGAACCAGCCCGTGATGTGATCTGAACAGGGTGTACAAGGTTACATTTTGTGTAAATCTAGAGACAGATATGTATGTACAGTATCATCATGCAGTTGTCAAAGGTTTCAAACAGAGTCCGCGCAGCAAACCATCGGCATCTGCTCGGTGCTTCCCCGCATCATATTTCGACATCATGCACCTCCATGGCCCCATACTCTATCACTCGGAACAAGGTCTCATTTGCCAACTCTGGAGACCATCCCACCCTGTAGTTACGCCTATGATCAGCAGCTGCCAGCGTAGTTCCTCTATATACAAGCCGAGGATCAACTCACGCATCTCTCCAATCTAAACCAGACTGGGCGTGCGCGACGCCGGAATTTTCCCACTGCGGCAGTTCTGCAGTTGATATGCCCTTGTACAGGACCTGAACCAAATCTGAGCTATCAGTCTTCGTGTAGTGGGGAGGACCTACAAATATGCGGATCAAGACGGAAGGGGGCGGGATGATTGTCAATTTCATGGTCGGGTCGATTTGGGTCCGATGTAGTATCCTATACGCCTAACCACCGATCAGTATATTCTCTGATACCGAAAAAAACTCGCTTACTATGTGTCCATGCCTCGAAATACCAGGCAACCAGCTCGTGATCATCCCCGTCCTACACTCCACCTCCAGCCCCAAATCTTCCAACACCCGATCCAAATGTGGTACAAACAGCTCCAGCGGTAGACACCAAGCATTCCCCGGCCTCACATCCGGGTAAGCAGGTACCAGCGCCGCTTGTAGATCTTTCGGAGGAGCAGCAGGGGCAGTAGTCGGGGAGGAGGGGGCGAGCTCGCAAAAGAGGTTGGACGATTTTGTGCCGGTGAGGAGATCTTCGATCATGCCCGAGGGGTGGACGCGGATGTACCAGCGGAGACGTTTGCGGTGCTTGGATGAGTGGTCGGGGTTGAGGGTGGTGGTGGGGTATGAGGAGGCGAGAGACCAGTCCTTGATAGAATAGCTGATTTCGACCTGTTGATATAGTCAGCAGAAGGCCAGCAAATTTGAGAACGCGTCGGCGAGACATACATCCTTCTCATCTGGGTGAAGTAGTTTGATGCCCGGGCGGACAGAACGAGCACAAAACATAACGCGACAGACTTTCTTATCCTGAGGTACACCTACACATCAAAGTCAGATTTCCTGCGGACAAGTACGAGTACAGTAGCCGGACGTACATCTGGTAAACACTTCGTCGGGACGAAGTTGAGTTCCGACAAATCTTTGCTTTGTCATGTTGTCATTGATATGGAGTACACCAAGGTAGGCTGAGATCTCATCAGCTCTAGATCCGATGAATCATGATGAATCTCACCTCCAGGCCGAGTAACCCGCACATCACTGCCGTATGAGGTCAGCACGTAGGTCGGCATCGCTTGTGGCAGTACTCTTCTGCAAGAACCGAAACTCACCCAAAGACGACACCAGCAGCAGTCGTAGTTGTCCCCTTCAACGTGGTACAGGTTATCTCAGATCCTGCCGATATGACATCCATATCGGAAGTCTCGGCTGGAAAAGGGACTTCTGCTGGCTTGGGTTCGGCTGTGGACGTTGGGGCGAGAGAAGTGTTAGCGAGCAGCGATGTGGAGGGGATACAAAACTGACATTTGTTGTCGCCTTTGTCCGATTCTGAGGAAGGAGAAGCTGGCATAGGCTGGAAAGTCGTAGCATATCAGCAGAAAACACCGATGTGGACATGCGCGATATTCACAGTCTTTGCGTACACATGAACTTCGAACCGAGCAAAATGCTTCCCAGTGCAAGCGTATTGATATGAATCGTTATCGGCGCTGTTTCCGGTCAACGATGTTGATCCTTGCTACCATCAATGCAATACTCACATATAGATCCTGTCTTTTGCCGCGTACCCACCCACCCAAGGCAAGTCAACAGCCCGGACTGAAAGTCTGGCGTAATGCGTCTCCTGTGGGATGTTGAACCTTTCCATTGTTGCTGCCATTGCTTTCTTTACCACTCTATTAGCTTTCCAAATGTCTCAAAACGATGAAGGGAGCAAACTCGCTTCATAGTTCTCAGGCATGCGGACAAAGATATCGTTTCCACCGGCGGTGGAGAGGATGATCATACGCGGAGGACCGTAGGACGACATGTTGTGGGGGGCGAAGACGGGTACGGGGATAGGCTGGAGGTGAGGCACGGTAGGGTGAGGGAGTGGGAGGATAGGGCTAGGGAGAGGTGATGGTGGAGGAGGAGGAGGAGGCGGTGGCGGTGGTGGGACAGGTGCTTGGATGGGTCCGATATCTAAGTCTCTTTCTTTCTTGTTGTCCTTCTTCTTCCCTCCGCCGAGAGCTCTCTCCGCTCTCTGCACAACTCTTTCAACTTCTTTGAACACCTCTGATGTATCGACCCTGCGTTCCCTGCCTGCTAAACCCTCTCGCTTGTAGGCTGAGAGGACCACTCGAACGACTCGCTGGTCTGAGCCTCGGTTCACGAAGGTTGAAGTGGTACTTGTCGGGTATTGAGGTGTGAGGGTCGAGGATGAGTGATGTGGGACTAGACTTGCTGAGGTGGGTGGCAAGCGTTTGATTGTCTGACATTCTGCTTCGCCATCAATTTATACTGCATGTGCCACTACAACGTGTTTGCTTACTCACCTGCAGGCAGCGCAACAGGTGTTCGGTCTCGAATCTACCAACATCACTTGGTGTCTACGCGGGCTCTGGAGAACCCGTGGCCTGTGACAGTAATGCTATACATACATAGCCATATGCCAAAGGCATGGCATGGGCTGAAGGGCGACTTGTTGCGCCCTTGCTCTTACGGCGTCAGTGGCTTATGAACGTGAGGTTCGTGCAAGGGTAGTATCGATGACGGGTGTGAATCACGAAGGGTCCCCCCCACAGATCGTCTGTGACGCGCTTCCAGAGTCAGGGTTCAATCCATCATTCAAGCTTCACATCGGCTCGCATGGACTCGGATCTGGAAACGGCACGGCGTAGAGCTGGAGAGGCCACTATTGATTCTGAGAGCGAGCTATGTGATGTCATGCTCAGAAACTTCTTCGATCTCTCTACCGACGCCATCAATGCCGGGCTTCCCATACGCCTCCATGGCAGGTGGAAAAGGTGCTCAGACAGGGGGAGCGGCCGCTCTGATTGGGAATTCCGGCGGCGCGACGGTGAAATCGTTGCTATCGTCGAGGTCAAGCTGCGCATCGTTCTAACGACAGCTGGCGAAGGTGACCGTGACCACCCGGTTAGAACGAGACTCAGTAGTTCAATGACGCAAGGTGATACAGCTGGGAGGGAAGGGGCTCAAAGCGACGCAAGGGAGGCTCAAAGCGACGCAAATGAGACCCAAAGCGACGCAAGGGAGGCTCCAAGCGACTCAAGTGACAGCGACCCGTCCCAGACCGATAAGAAGGACAGTGATTACGTGCCCAGCGACGAGGAGAAGCCGGATGAGGAAATCTCCATGCATCTGTCGCTGAGGTTGGAGGAACTGTTGAGGGAGTGCAAGCAGGATCAGGGCTTGAAGCTCATTCTGGCTGATAGGAAAGGAAAAGATGGTGAAGCCCAGCTCGCCTTGCGCATTGTGGACCAACAGACGAATATCGTGCCCGAAATGACGCACTGGGCAATGGGATTGTCCCAGGTAAGCTCCGAGCACTACTATGATTTGATATGATGGCTGTTTTGACGAGTTTGCTCAGCTCTGGGAACAACTTCACGTCTACAAACTCGACCTCGTCGTACTCACCTCCTACGAAGTTTGGATCCCTTTCCAGCGCGATCCCAAAATCGAGAACCTGCTTCGTATGGGTGACCCAATCCATAGGAAGGAGCCCGGAACTGCGCCTGATCTTGAGAAGATGTCGCCTATGGAGCTTGCAGTGGCTTCCGTGATTGAGAGGGACCCCGCACCCTCACTCAACCGTACATTCCTACCTCTACCTCGCTGGCCCTTGTCCGAAGCTTTGGGGAATGATTCAACGCAGAATGACCAGAACGAGCGCCGGAGAGGGGCCTCGGGATCGAGGGGCACGAAGCGTGGATACGACGAAGTTGGCGGCACTGGCGGCGCTGGAAGTGACGATGCTATTGATGGAGACGCAAACATCCCGAGGAATGTCAGTGTCATTTCACATTTGGTTTTTTATCATGGCTGATGTATACTCTAGCAACATGCACCCGTCACTCTGCAGGTTTCTGTGTCCAACGATCACTCCCCTGACGCTCTTCACTACTTCAATCAAACCAACTTGAATGATGGCTATATCACCGGTTGCCTTTCCCCCTCCGTCATTGCATCCTTGGCCGACGACAACAGCATCCACTCGGGGCTGCCTACTTCCGGGCTTAAAGCCCACCTCGCCCTCGGTAGCTATATCAGCTCTGGGCGCCTGTGGGACGTCTACCACTCCGTCCTCACCGTCGAAGGCCGTGTGAGCAAGAAGCTCGTCGCCAAGGTCATGGTCCCTGATACCTATGATGATGGAGAGTGAGTATTACAAGGGATTTTTCGAAGACTCCGAAGAGGCAGTGGCTGCATATCGTCTCGAGGCGGCGCTGTACAATGGCCCTCTCGCAAGCCTACAAGGAGGGGCTGTCCCCGCATCGTATGGCTCGTTCAGTGGTGCAATGTGTCTTGGGCTTATCTCTGGGGGCTACCCATTGCACATCGAATTGATGGAGGATGTCGGGGGGCCAGCCGCCGGAGAGAGTGAGCTGCAGGATCTGCCTTTGCAGGATAGGTGAGTGTCTTTCAACAGCTACAATGGTCTTGTGCTGATCACAATTTCAGACAGGCTATCCGGGACCTCTACCATCAAATTCATGCGGTGCGCGTTCTTCACCGCGACGTAGAGCCACGCCACATTCGCCGACGCGCCGACGGCCGCTTTGCTCTCATCGACTTTGACGCCTCTCGCTCGGTGCAGGACGGTCCCGAGGGCGACCGAAGGCTGGCATCTGAGGGGCGCCGGGTAGCGGCTATGCTTGGGTTAAAGGTTCGTGCTGCGGGGAAAGCAGAGTCTCGCCAACATCAGGGGCCAGAGATGGTAGCCGGCCTTGGGGCGGTTGACCGGGGCATCCAGGTTGTGTAGATTATTTGTAACATATCAACTATTATTACGACTACATGACATGTACATAACGAACCGCCTGTGGCCTCTGAAACTGCCCTTTCTGCTCCCTCTGCATTGCTCTATCGTCTCCATCTCGGTCAATTGTCTACCCATTTTCTCTATTGTCCCTTGTCTCAAGGCGTCCTCCTCAGTTACGGCCACGCCATGTCGCTATTGTTTGCAGCACGTTACATAAGCCACTAGCCCTTCGCAGATTCCTACTACTACTCCTCTCATCTACAACCTGGATAACTCTCTCACCCCTCACATAGCTCTATGCCTGGCCAACCATGTCCGAAGTCGACTATGCAGCACTCGTGCGTATAGCCTTCACATCACATCATCAGAGGTACTGACACTCGACAGGTCCCAACGGAGCGAGCCCAATCCGCCGCCAACAAAGATTTCTACTCTACACATATGCTTGGGTGATAATGGCAATACTAAAGTAACAGGAATAATGATACAATTGTAATTCAGCAGCAACCCAGCAGCAATTTAATCCTCTGCCAGGCGGATTTCACCTTCGCCCTTCCACAATTGTCTGACATCCCACCATCTCCGGGTTGTCCTTTGCGAGTTGTCCCACCCGCTCAAAGCCTCTTCGATGTCATCTTCCTGATCTCGAGCGTCAATCTGATTTTCCACATCCGGATTTTCTCCCCTCATTATCGCCCCTAGACCCAACGGCCCATCGCTCCGACTCCTCCTATTCCTCCCTTCCGGCCCGAGCAACGATCCCGATCGATAGTGAGCAGTCCCATTCCCATGTGGGTGATGTGAATACTCACTCGTACTTCCCGACCTCAGCGCGAAACCACGACTGGTCGCGCCAAGGCCGAAAGCGAAGTCGGGTATGAGAGTACCGTACCGCGGGCCACGGTGTCTGCGTCCGTGAGGGCCGTGGGATTGAAGTGGGAGTGTTGGCGGATACGGGGGGATAAGGGAGAGGCGGGGGTACCTGGGGAAGGAAGAGGCGGGGGTACCAGGGGAAGGGGCGAACACGGGATGGTACCTCCTCGGGGCGTCGGCGGTATCGACAGACCAGAAGGTTGAGAGGGGCGAGCTGGCTCGCTGTTTTCCGGCTCGTTGGAAGTATCACCTCCCAAGAGTATGGCGCCTTCCCCAGTCTCAAGCTCTTTCATCGACGACGGACTCAAAGTCGCTATCGCAATTGTCTTCTACCCAAGTGCCGACCTCTACCGCAGCGCCTTCTGGCTGTATGGCGGAGACTATCCAGACCCCCAAGAGAAGCAGGGGCTGTGCCCAGGATACGAGGAGGATTCGATTAAGTCGCAAGCTGGCCGAATTGATCGTAAAAGACAAGTCCGGCTGATGACCGTCAGCTGCGAAGCATATAGATGGAGACAGGTCGGCTTACCAAAGATGGATGACAAGTTGAAGGAGCAAAAGGCGAGAGGACAGACAAGGGCCGGCCCTGCGTAGCTTAGACTGACGTGAAGATACCAGATTTGCGCCACTGCAATGATGCTCATCCCTAGCAATAACACCCAAGTCTCTGCCCTCGCAAATTCATTAATCCCGGCCCCCGTCTGCCAATGCAGCAACGGAAGGAAAAGATTACAACTTACAGCATACAATCAGGAGACGCCTCCTCATGAGGCCTCATCAGACGTCGACGTCACAACTCAACGGCCACATCATTTATCTTTGTACTTCCTTCGAGGTCCTCTTAAGCGCCACCGCAAACGATATATCGGTTAAAGTATCTCCGTACAAGGGCTATGCATTGCAGTCCAGGAGTAGATCACAAATCACACAGAATTATCTAGCTCCAACAGACACGACCTCCTCGGCGAGATGTGTGAGTGGTCTAAACAGCTGTCTTAAGGAGAAGCATCTCTGCAAGAAACGGCAGTCCTCCGGGGCGTGGGTTCGAATCCCACTCTCGTCAGATATCTTTTTGCACGTCTCCTTTGTGCTGGATCGAGCTCAAGAGGGTTCACCATCCCCGCTCGCAAGCCGCAAATAACCAGGGGCCAGGGGGCGATCAGGATGGAGGAGATGATGGCTGTCACCTACTGATCTACCGAGATGTATGCCACTCTATGTACCTGCTCTACATGATCTGCATACATCATTGTACATATACAGGTGTAGCTTGTAGACTCGTCAAAGATTGAAGATTTGGCTCTCTCGCTATCTCGATCGCAAGGCACAGGGGCCTGTCTCTGAAATTCTGATTGCTTATCTCTAGTGGAACACCTCAACGCCTTCCTCTGCCGCCGGCCCCGCCGGCCGAGAAGCCTTGTCGGTGCAACGCAGTACATAGTCAAGTCACTATATACTGTATGTCCAAGAGAGTTCTTTTCGATAGTATGACAACAACTTCAGCCAGAGGCAGCAGGCTCACGTTATCACCAGACCCCTGAGGAAGAAGTGTGCGTGGTGCTTCTCGTCCCTTCTGTGTATTTTCTTGTTTCGGTTCTTTGCTCAAGCAAACGGTCTTCAACGTGTATTCTTCGGACTCGGACTTCGAATGCCAATGGTCAAACCTACATAAAGTTTGGGAAGCTTGTCTCGATTACTGTGTAGTGCTTGCTTTGGCAGTGCCGGCGTGCGCGGCGACTCGGCTCGTTCCTCCTTATCCTTCAACGTAGGTGCTATGTACCCTACCTTGTCCATTTTCAATGGGCCAAAGAGCAAGCCGCGACACGTACTGGCAGAAAACCTGCAGCATGCATGGTCATAAGAAGCACAGATGCGTACAAATAACCATCACAGAAGCCCCAAGGCCCAAGGCACTCGCGCGCGCGCGCCGCGTCTTGTTGGATGACGAATGACGAAGAAGAGGGTTCCAACTCCCAAGCTTCAAGCCAAAAGGCGACCAAACCCATCCCACTTCGGGTGAACACGGACTCGGTTTCCCCGAGCTCCCCAAGAAGCCCAAGAAGCCACTCAGGCCACCACAGTGGCACCCAGAACCCAAAAGTAGAAGAACACGGAGAAAATACTGGCACATAAGGTGTGCACATGGCAGGCCAAAAGTGATCAGTCCGTACGGTTCCTTGCCCCTGGCGCTAACCTCTGATTTCTTATTCTTAAAAAAACGCAACTCAATTGACCATGCTTGTCTTTTTGTGTCTTGTCCAAAAATTGAAGGAGCGTGTTTCGGGCTGAGAAGGTCAGAAGTGGGTTGGTACGAAACTTGCGCATGGCTGAGAAAGTGGGGAGAGATGGATAGAGGTTGTGGAGAGGTGATTGAAGAAGAAGAAGGCGGTATCGCTCGTCGATCTCCAGTCATCTCAGGATAAGATTTTGTAAGCAGAGTCGAGACCTGCTTGCTACTGCGACCCCCGTCACATGCAGTGGTCGTTCCAGACTTTACACACTTCTCAGAAAATGTCCAGGCTCTCACTCACCCGACTCACCGTCACCCTCCGCGGTAAGGTGCCCACCCCCGGGAAGGGCAGGGCAGGGGGCTGCCTAAGACACATCATCTCTGGTTATACCGCCATCCGTCATCTGCCATGCGTGTCATGCGTGGCATCATCCGGTGCATGTAGGCGCCTATGATGTAGGAGGTCGTTGACTAGCACTTCGGCAAACGCCTCACGCCTCACTCGCGCCGGAGGACGCTCGGAGGCCTCGGATATTGTCGCCGGACCACTATTTACCTGCATCTACCTGGAAGCTGTACTCGATCGAAGACGGCCAAGACCCAAGAAGAGGAAAATTGGGTAAGGAAAGCAAAGAGTACGAGTACCAATCCTCGATTTTCATGTAATGGCATCATTGTTTGGTTCCATCCAGATGTGCCGTCCAAACCTATCATAAGACTTGATACGCGGCGTTGATCATGATGCTGTTATAAGGTACTACATTAAGATATACCTTTGCCCCTTCTCTCAATTACATGTAACTGTACGTACCTAATGTAATAACTGCCTATCCTTATCTACCTTTCTGTACCTCGGGCCTTCTTCGGGAATACGTACGTAGCAAGGAAGGAAGGGGGGATAGAGGCCGTACCTTGTCCTTGTTGATCCCTTCTCTCGCTGATCGTTGATCGTTGAGCGAACTGCGTGACTTGATACCATGTAGCTCACCCGGCCACCACGCCCATGGCCCATGGCCCATCCCATCTCCTTGCCAAGTGTACAGCAGTGATTCCACCAACAATGTACTGCGCGGTCCTACCCCTGACGTATCATGCACGCCGTCCCCGTCCCACTCGGCCGGCCATCTTCCTCCCTTCGCTCAGACTATTGCCTGCTCTTGCCTGACGACAATGCATGAGGGCCACAAGGCAGCTAGCTGCCTCATCGCGAGCTTGCGAAAGAAAGATATCGGATCCTCCTGACGGAAACCCCGGTGTTACGTCTCACGTCTTTACCGCTCACCGCGCCGTGGCCGATGACATCTGTGGCGTTTCTGTCGTTCAGTCTAAGCTCTTGTCTCTGCTCTTGTCTCTTGTTATGGCGCCCAAAGATTTCATGGGCTTGGACTTGGGCTATGGACGTGGGCTATGCGCGGGCGTGCTACATGTGGGTGTCGCATGACGAGACCGACGACCTAAAGTAGAAAGAGTTGAAGGGTTCGCGTTTCAAAACGTATCGACCACCACCCCCTTTCGCTCCCCGTCCACGAAGAACTTGGTCCAAAAGTCCTACAGTCGAGACAAATCAAGAACGACCGGGCCCACCGGCCAACCCGGCCAAAAGCAAAGCACACGCCCCCCCCCCCCCGGACTTCCCGAGCCTGATGACGAGCTCTGTGACTCCCCTTGCCCACCGTCTCTTTGTCTCGTGAACGATCACGACGTATCAATCGTCAGCCTCAGACACGTCGTACGCCTCCTCGCCCTGAACCGCCTCGCGGCTTGCCGCATTTGCAGGAAAAAGGATAATAATATGTAATCTTTTTTGTGGCTGAGCCCCCACTAGCGTCAAGATGAAACAGGGCGGTCGGTCGGGTTTTCGGTTTCCTTATTGTTCTCCCTCCGTCCGTCCGTACTCTTTTTCATTGTCTTTTTCCACTTCGGGCGTGTCTTCCAGGGGTAGGGGTAAAAGGGGGCAGGGGTGGATTGGCTTTTTTGGGTCTATACCGTAGCTTCACTCGTTCTTTGGGCATATGGGCATGGGTCGTCGTGGTGGACGGCGGGGAGGGGCTGGAACTGTGTACTGTGGGGTCTATGACCTGCATATGGAACGAAACTGGGAGCGGGGAGAGGACAAGATCGAGGGGGTTTGGGGTAGCTGGAAAGATGAAACGATGCGTGGGATGCGGTATATGCCATAAGGCCTGGACGTTTGGTGTTGGGACTTGAGAGTTGGGAAGAGGAGGAGTCCGAAAGATAGGAAAGAAAAGAGCGCTACGGCCGAGGGTGCCTATGATTGGACCTGGCCCGGCACCGGCTGCTCTTCAGCTCTTGCCTCTTGGTCGAGTGGTGGTGGTGGAGTGCGGAGATGGTGATACGCCGTTCTCGTATATACATCCATGCATGCACGCTCCCCTGTGCACTCTGCACTATGCCCCCCCGAGATTGACGCCGTGTCGCTCGGGCACAGACGGGGGCAGAACGGGAGTATTCGTGCCCCAGCCCAGAATGGTTGTCGGCCCGAAACCGCCTCTGTGGCTGCACCCGAGGCGCTGGGGGATTGGGCCGAGAAGCGGTGTGCCTGTCAGGGGTGGCTAGTGGATGGTGCGGGCATAATCAGCCAGGGCCCAGGGCGGTACCTGTCGACATCCCCCCAAATCCATCTGTCAATACCATTTCTACATCTCCTCCTCGTCTTCCTCTCCTCAACATCCTCCTACTCCACCCCACGTAAGTACAGCCTCCCACTGTTCCCCGTCTTTCCCTTCCCCTTGTCCCCTCCCCCCGCAAAACTTTCGTGTTCCACCGCCTTCCCTAGCCTCCTCACATTGACAAGACTGGGCATACCAAACGGTGCCCAGTCTCTCCCCCCCCCGACTCCCCGGAGTCTCATAACCGTGTGCGCGTTGAGCTTGAATGTGGATGCGCGATACATGGTGAGAAACAGACGCTGACTCGATCCAATAGTATCCACTCGTCTCACGCGCTCGTCCAGTGACGGCCCTACTTTTACACCCATCTTGATCAATCCACCCCGTGAGTCAACCCTCCAGCCATGCTCTTTACGAGGACAGAAACACACCCCGAAGCAAAACACACCCCGAAGCAACGCTGTCCACGGATGTCGCCCAAAAAAGGAAAAAAGAGTGTTTGGGCAATGGGAGCTCGGGCGCTCTGCTTTTTTTCGTGTTCCGCGTCTATCCAAGGATCCCCCTTCAGAACCCATTCTTCTCCTTCTTTCCCTCTTTTCTTCCCCCTTCTCTCCCCCAGGCCATCCCCCGCTGACGCTCCCCCAGCGACGCTCATCCAACTCTCGGTACCAGGCACCAGTCACCGCCGATCAGGTCCATCCCGCTTCCTGTCAACTTCTCTCTAGAACACGTCGTACCTTGGCATCCCACCCCGCCCACACTAAAAAAAGGCCTCTCGTCAGCCTCTACTATTATGAGCTTTGCAGCGCCTGAAGAGCGTTACAACAACTACAACGCCTACCGCCCCCCCACCTCTTCCCACGGCGCGCCCGTCTCCCCCGACCAGCGTATCCACTCCTCCCACGGCTACGCCAAACCGCCTACCCACGAATCCCCGAGCCAGGTATATCAAGACCACCCGCTCGCGCCTGTTCCTTCTCACGGCTACGCACCCCAGAGCCAGCCCATGACGCCCTTGACGTCGAATTCGTACCCGCCCGCCAACCAGGCTGGGTCGTACTATACCATCCCGGGCCAAGGCCAGGCTCAAGGCGAGGCCATCCCGTCCCCGCCGCCGAGCAGCGCGAATCCGGTGAGGCCGGATACTGCCAACAGCGGCAGTGGAGAGTTTGCGGCGCCTGCGGCGCCGACGCAGACGACAGAGGGAGGGGTGCCGATTGTTCCTGTTGGCGTGTCGGGCGGCAAGTTGTTTAGGTGTAGAGGATATGGAGAGTGTGACAAGGTTTTCACGAGGAGTGAGCATCTTGCTAGGCATGTTCGGTGAGTCTGTTCCCTTCTCTTTTGCTTGAAAAAGGTGCTAATGGATAGCAGCAAACATACGGGCGAACGACCATTCCCATGCCATTGCGGTAAAGCCTTTTCCCGTCTCGACAACCTGCGCCAACACGCCGCTACTGTCCACTCTGAGCAAACTGGCCTGAACGAGACCATGCTCGCCTCCCTCGGGCCCATACACGCCGCCCTCTCCCAGCGGGCGAGCAAAGAGCAGCGCAGAAGGGGCGAGGTCGTCGAAGTACCCAAGAATGCCGTCGAGCGAAGACAGAGCGAGTACCGTACCCGCGGTGGCAGCGCCTCGTCCTCCCAGCCGAATGCGGCGCAGGGTACCGCTCCTCCGAGCCAGACCAACTCGCCTTACACGGCTTATCACGACCCCCAATGGGCCTCGCAGCCCCATAGCCGACCGAGGACTTCGGGGGGGTATGATTACCCGTATGCTGCTGCGCCAGACCATCAGCAAAGTATGGGCGAAGACGCAGGGCCGTCGAGGAGGCCCGGGTCTGCGGCGGGGTATGGCTACCAACAAGATTTCTACGCCGGCGCCAACGGCCGTCCCGGGTCTGCTGCAGGCCCGCCCCCAGGCGAGATGGGCAGCCTGCCATACCCTTACCGACCCATGTCTTCCCAAGGCCGCGACCTGCCCGTGCCCACGCACTATGCCGAATCCGAACCCCCCGCCTCGGCACACGGTCCCCCCGAATCACCCATGTACGCCAACGTGCCCAACCCGCAACAGCCCGCGTGGTCGTCCCCGCCCACGGGCCACTCGGCGTATCCGCCGCATGACGCGGCGGCGTACCCGGCGCCGGAGGGGTACGCTTATAGCAGCCAGGGGGGGCATGGGGCGTACCCCCCGAGGGAGGAGGTGTATGAGTACCCGCCCCAGTCGGCTGGGGGGTGGCAGGGGGGGTATCCCCCGTCTCATGGGAGTTATCCTCAAGGATACAACAATGGCGCGCACCAGCCCGATTCTCCTTTCCAGTACAACGTCGGTCATCCCGGTCACCCTGGTGCGCCCGGAGCTCCCGGAGCTGCTGCTGGCGCGCCCCCGGCAGGCGCAGAGGGGGGGTACTCGTACAGCAGTGGAGGGTACGACCGTAAACGCCGGGCGGAGGACGACGGTGGTGATCACGACGCGCGGAAACACGCGCGACACGCGTCGGGCGGGCAAGGGCAAGGGGCAACGGCGGCGGGGAACGCTTCTGCCGTCAGCCTTAATGCTGCTTTGGAAGCTTCCACCGGCCCTGGTGCGCCTGCGCCCGGTCCCGGTGGTGCTGTGAGGGGGGGCGGAGCGGGGGGAGTGGGAGGGGGCGGGATGGATTCGTGGTTGCCGCCGACGACGGAGAGGAGGGGCAGTCTGGCGATTAGTGCGTTGTTGGGGAGCCCGAAGACTGTGGCGGAGCTTGATGGTGCGGGACTTGGAGCTGGAGCTGGGGAGAGGGCGTCGCCGCCCAAGGAAGTGGATGGGAAGGAGGGCGAGAAGAAGTGAGGGCAGTGAAGGAGTTGCTTTTTCTTCTGTGATTGCCTTGGATTTGATTTGTGCGGGGCGTTCTTTGAGTGTTTACATGACCAGGCTGAGCTGAGCTTGGTTGGTAGTCTTCTTTTCCTTGCTTTCTCTCTTTCTCTGATCTCTCTCTATATATCTGTTTATATTTCCTTCTCTCGTCTTGGTAGTTCTCGAATCAGTCTCTAGTCTTTGCCTTTCCATCTTCTTTCCGAGTACGTATTCCCAAACAAAGTACCTTAACGATGACATGACTTTTCTTTCCCCGTCCGGTTCACTCACTGAGTTACTTGCTTATTGGCTAGCGGTTATTGGTCAAGAACATACGAAAACAATGGCCTGATGCATTGTTTTGCTCTGATATGGGTGGGGAAAGAGGCACTGGTAAAGATAAGAGAAAGATAAGCTCTCGGCGACTTACACACCACTCTTTTGATTTGATGGAGAGAGGAACCAGTTACAAGGAACCGGGTGTTTCTGATTTTGGTGCACTTGTTTTTTTGGTACGCACTCCATCATCGTGTGAATCTCCTCCTGCTTACGCGGAAGAGTCGGCCATGGAGGGTACATACGAAGAGGTGAGGTGAGGTGACAATGTTGTAGATCACTGCATCCGGGAATACATACGGGAATACGTGTTTGCGCCCTTGGTCCTGGGGGTGCAGTGGCTTGGAGGTCCTTGGGACCTTGGCGGGATGTCACTACTTTATAGACTTTTCTAACCGGTTTCTCATGACAGCCTTGCCACGCCGCGGTCCGCCATTATCGGGCTCAGCTACAGCAGTTACAAAAATGCACCTTGCAGTGTGACCTTTCATCTTTTATCGGGGTGTGGTGGCTGACGTCCGTCGACGACCGCGACGTGGGCTTCATTCTTCGCCGGCCAACTTCTTGACCATCGTGCTCGTTTGCTCGATGATAAGGACTTGTACTGCTCGGCGCAGACAAGGAATTAACAGGACAGGAGATGTAAGACGAGTTGGATCGTTTGAGGGTGCTCAGCCGAGATACATCGTACCATCCTACGTATTATCACCAATCAAACTTATCCTCAAAGAGAACGATAAATGGCCAGATAAGACAAATAAGTTGGGAACGATATAGCGAACGATCAAGACTGAGGAAAGCATCCGGGCCCTGGGGCGGTGGATACCCAGAGGTGGTGGGTCCAACTCGCATTGGAGAGCCTGGTGATCTTTGTGGTCAGCATGTGCTAGCAGAAGAGGCCAACGATGTTAACGCAGATGGTACTCACAGACAACACCGGAATACCGGACGAATCATCACTCATGATCAGCCTAGCACGAGCGAACTCTACCAAAGGCAAACCACGATCGGCTGAACTCTACAAAGGCACGCCGTTCGCGGATCGTGACCATGCCTGTTGTGACACCCCGCTCCAAGTGAATGGCCCACAAGGAGGTGCCACGTAAGCCCAATGAGCACTAACAAACAGTGGGAACTTGTATCGGCGGCGAGGGAAAAAAAGTACTGAAAAAGAGGGAAGGATGGGGAATGTACGAGAATATATATATGCGGGATCTTGAGCGGTGGTGTCCGCACTTCACATCACATGACATGGACATGATGCCGTATGGATGGGAACTACGTACTTGTAGGTCGGGTTACCGCATGGCACCTGGCCCGGTGTGTGTCTGGATTCCCTCGACGTGAGGGACATGAGCTAGCTTCATTCTCTCTCTGTACGTACTCCATGAAGAAGCGAGTCGTCAGATTTTACAGACCAATTCATGTTGAAAGACGACGAGCGAGCGACCTGCTGTTGATGTATGGCGTTGAATTGCCAACATACTGTTATAGCATCTCACATAGCAGGTCATGCATTGTTTCATTCTGACCCATCTTGTGAATGCGTATGGAGTGCATTTCGATGCGGATGAGGAACGACTGACCACTCGTGACTCCGTGAAGGCTCTGCAAGACCACCATGCATAGAGAAAAGCTGTTACTCGCCCGTATTCCTCCACAGAGACGACTCTTCCCTGTAACACAATCAAGCAGCTGAGAATGTTCCATATCTCTCTTTTGTCCAATTCTTAGCTATCGCAGATGAACTGGGCATGCTGACGCGATGCATAAAACTCACCGTGACATACAGCAAACCAGGCATGCCATCTACTCATCGATGTGTGCTCACGATTTCGACCAGTACAGAGTACAACATCTGCATCAGTCTTACAAGAATTGAACAACCCTTTCTGAAATCGCATCTTGAAGATTCAACATCCGAAACGTCATCTGCGAATCTCCTTCTCAGTTCTCAACAAACTTCGGATAGATGTTGTAATGCGGATCATGCATATTCTTCTACACCCCATTGATCATCAGCATCCTTCAACAATCACACTAACCGTCGGACAAATACACTCACCCCACACTTGGACCACGCACAAATCGCCCCCACCGGCGGCTTGACCAGCCCCGTTCCTACGACTCTGCGGCAATAAGGACACCGCCAGAGAGGGAGTTCTCCTGGTTTGTGGGCTGAGAGGGCGTTGTTTGCGGGGTCGGTAGGGCTGGCCGGTGACTGGGCTGATGGTCATTACGCCGGCGAGATCAAGTGTCTCTGAGAGGGAAGAGGATCGACGTTTGCGCGGGGAGCAAGTAAAGTTGATTGGTAGTTTGCTGGGACTACCGTGAGGTGGGCTATGGTGTTGAGAAGGCGTTACAGTCTCCTGAAGCGTAGTTTATAGACATGTTGCCACTCATAATCAAGTAGTCATATGCCCTTGCCGAACAACGTCAGTACATCACTTCAAAGCAGCCATTTCTTCGTGTACCGCTTTCCTCCATCGTCAGATGACGCTCACTTGAGACAGGCAGCTATTGCCACGCCTTCACTCCACTCATTTCCGTGGGATGCCAACGCTCTTACTGCAAATTGACTGTCATCAGCTGCTGCTGTCACCTCACCAACATTGATCCGCAACCCAGCCTCGAGAAGCAAACACAGCGCTGATCTATCCCCTTGCGACTGAAAAGAAATCTGGTTTGTCCTCTTTGGAACTAATGATGCATATTTCTACATGGATCTCTTACAGTTTTCTGAGCCGACTGTCTGCACTCCTCTTTAATCCTACCCTCACCACCGCCCACCGCCAACATTATCGATGTCGATCTTTGGATAGATCCCGAGCGCTGGGCAATGCACAAGCTTCTGTACAAACAAAGGTCAAAGCCGCACAAATGAGCTACTTGTACCTCAAAATCGATGGACTCACACGACAAGACCAGTTTGGACAACGGTAATTTATCGGAGGCATATGGATACCCAAAAACGTGCCACAGAACTGGCATTTGTAGGTGAAGCGGAAGCCACCAGGGTTGTGATTATAATAGGCTGCTTGGTGACTGTCGTACTTCCGTATCATCGGGCGCAGATGGCGAAGAGGTGTATAGTGGATGAAGTGCCGGATGCGGACTGCAGATCAACTGAACGGAGGAGGATTTGAAACATGGACGAAGGCGGCAGTCAGAGAGGAAATGATATATATGATCTTCAATACCCCCCCCCCCCCTTCGCTTGTCATGGCCCCAGAAGCATAACCCTCGCGGCTTTGCCATAAAGAGATAACGCTTGCTTCTGCACGCTGCGCCTCTAGATCAAGACCCTTCTTCTGCATCCTGCGGTCCTTACAACGAAGCGAGATGGTGCGTGGTGTTGGCGTGGAGGGCGCTCGAGAGTTCAAGATGCACTCGCTGGCGGCCTCGTTGCTTGCCCTCAATCATTACCAGACTCTGACGGACGGAGTCCTGAGCGAGTCATCCATCAAGGGTGCCACGAGGGAACCACGTTAGAGCCACGCGCGTGCCCTGACCCTTGTCGGTGGACCGATAAACCGGCATCGCACCATCTCGCCTCATTTTCCTGTCCGAAAGATATTTGTCGGCTTAGAAAGACAAGATTATCATGGCCTTACGAGATGTCTCATGACTTTTTCACTTTGACAACGACGCCTTGATGTCAGCAACGATCGCAAAGACAGTCTCAAGCCCCAAAGTCACGACTGGGGCAGCTCTCAAGCTCAGGGGCGGGCATGACCCCGTCGCTCTGCAAACCGCTTCGCAAGAGCTGGAAGATCGGGGCGTATGTATATCCTGACTTTGCCAAAAAAGTCCTCCAGCTTACGTCCTGTCAGTATACCGTCGTAAAAAATGTCCTCTCTTTCGAGAAAGCGGCCGAATACAAAGAGCGCCTCCTACAATGGCTCGAAGTGAGATCTTCTCTTCTCGATGATCACGTTGTCGGTGGACGACTGACCATCCGGCAGGACTTTCAGCTGGGCTTCAGAAGGGATGACCCGGAAACTTGGAAGTGGGATTACCTCCCCGAAAGCTGGAAGTGCGCCTCTCTACCCTCGGTCCTTATCTGTGTTTATCATGTCAGATCTGACTTTGTAATCAAAGGGGCGGGCTATACACCAAGTATGGTATCGGACATGAACAATTTGCTTGGGATCTGAGAACCGAACAAGCTCTGATTGATGGTCAGTAACCTCTTATATCAAGAAGGGGCGCCGCTGACAGACATTTTTCGTAGTCTTTGCTCACATCTGGGGGACAGACGAGCTTCTCGTTTCATTTGGCAAGTCTCCTTTCCCCATTCCACTACGCAATCTATCAATGGAGGCTGACTCCATTCCGCTGTCAGATGGGTCGAATATCTCCTTACCCATGCCCGCTTCCGAACGCGCCAAAGTCGAGAAAGAATACCAACCCTGGCCACACGTACATCCCCCATTCCTCCTATATCTACCCCTCAACCAAGCTCATAATCTTGCACAGACAGACCAATCGCTCACGAGGACATACAAACATTGTATCCAAGGTCTCGTCAATTTGGCCCCGAACGGTCCCGAAGACGGTGGTTTGATGGTCTTGCACGGATCTGCAGCTCTGTTCAACGAATTTGTCAAAGCGCACGAGCACGATAAGGTTCGTCTTCCCCTCCCCCTCCTCCCCCCTCTTGTTCAAGTACTAAGGAAAAGTAGCCAGAAGAAGGCTGGTCCCCCATAGATATCCACCTCCACACCCCCTCCCAGCTGGAGTGGTACCTCTCCAAAGGCTGTTCATGGCGCAAAATCGACGCAGGGCCGGGGGATGTGGTACTCTGGGATAGTAGGTGTTTGCATATGGGTGTTGCGCCGGGGGTGGGGGGTGGTTTGAGGGCTGTGAGCTGTGAGTTTCTGGGCTTGGATATGGGAGATTGGAAAGGGAAGAGGAAACTGACGTGGGGTTTGAAGATGTTTGTTACAAGCCAGCAAAGTTGATCACACCCGAGAAACTCGCCTTGAAGCAAGACCTTGCCAAACGCTATGCTCAGACCGTAAGCCCTTCTGCTTCTTTCCATCGACACAAAGCTTAAGGAATGTCAGTCGCACGACCCCGTAGAAGTTCGCGAAACAACAGCCGGCGTCGGCTGGCGTATCCGCAAACCCGGAGAACGTATCGAACCTCTCATCAAGCCCATCTTGACGAAAAGGGCTCGGCAATTGGCTGGTTTGGAAGCTTATTGAAGAGTAAGGGTCGATGCTATGCATGATGATGTCTCTGCACAAATGAGTAAATGCACACCTGCCCAGCCCTCGTCTCTTCACGCAACCTTCTTCTTCTTCCTCGGCTGCAACATCGTGACAACCTCCTCCTTCTTCGCCCTCTTCTCCCCACCAACCCCAACCCCTTCCCCGGCCCCTGTCCCTGGTCCTTCTACCCCAACCTTCGCTTCCACCGTCCCCACACACTTCTCCCACCCTTCCTTGCCCACTTCGCTCCGGACAAGACCTTGAGTCTGGTCCAGCCATATGCCGGAACCTTCTATGGCGAGCTCGCGCGTGGCGAAATCGAGGTTGGTCAACGCCGTCAGGATACGGTCCGTTATCGGCGGGGGAAGGAGCGCTTGGCTCGGCAATTCCACCATTGTGACAGAAGGCTCTGCAGCTCCCTGCTCGTCCCCCGGCACAGGCCGAGAAGGCAAAGGCAAAGTCTCCAACGAAAAGAACCCCGTGACATCCCCCGACGCACATTCCTGTCTGAACCCCATCCGTTCCCAGAACTCGGCCATCCCGACTTTGGCGAGACATGCTTGGGCGTGGGTGCGTTGGGAGAGGTCGTGCTCGGTTTCGCGGGTTTCTCGAGTTTTGCGAGAGGTGTGGTCTTTTTCTTTTTGAGCTTGGGGTTGGTGGCGGGCGGGCGAGGTGGAGGAAGGGGATGGAGACGTTGATGTGGTGGCAGTGGGCGCAGGAATAGGGGCAGCGGCAGCAGCAGCGACAGACGCAGGCGCACCCCTAAGCCTCGGCACCCCATCAACCAACTCTTCCAAAAACCTCGTCTTTGGATCATCCGGCAAACTCGGTATCAGCCCCGCCAACCCTACCTCTGTCTCCTTCTCGCTTCCGCCTACCACAGGCGTCAAGAATGGTGGGGTATAGGACCAAGCGATACCAGCGGGCAGGGGCCGACCGGGACCGAGAAGGGAGTGCGCTTCGGATTGATCGTACCCTGGGAGTATGAATGCGAGTTTCACGTCCCTTCCTATTTCTGCTCCCTCTTTCTCCTTCTCCTTCTGAGCCTGAGCCCGAGCTTCCGCAAAGGCAGAAACACTCTCCTCATAAACCCCCTTCCACCACTTACAAAGCCCCATCCCACCAAGCACCTTCTTCCCCCCTCCCTCCCCAGAATTCGCAAACAAATACTGCTTCTGCGCCCTTGCAAAAAGCTGTACCCGGAGGTATGGGTGGGTGGAGATGAAGAAGGTGAGGAAAGAGCGGATGAGGTGGCGGGTATGGGGGAGGGGGGCGGAAGGGGATGAGTAGCCGGAGGAGTCGACTTTGGAGATGTAGAGGATTGCTGGTGGGGATGAGGGGGATGAGGGTGAGGAAGAGGGGGAGGGGAAGGTGTAGAGGTAGGCGGATATGGCGGCGACAAGTACCCTGGGCTTCTTTCCCTTCCCAGCATCTCCATCCACCCCTTCCCCTTCCTTCTCCCCGCCCACTGTCGCTCCCTGACTCCCTTCCTGCCCCTCCCCACCCGTCTGGCCATGGTTCTTAACCTCAGAATCAAGCACCACCAGCCAATCTTGTTTCAACGCTTTCGGCGGGTTGACAGCGTGCGGATAAAGGTCTTTGGTGCGTTTGGGGTGGGAGGCGAGGATGGTAAGCCCGAGAGGGGATGTGTTTGGGAGTGGGGAGAGGGAGGAGAGGAGGTGTGTGCGGAGGCTGTTTGTGGTTCAGTCAATCGGGAAAACAGAAGAGAGGTAGGAGGGATAAGCGTACGATTCGGGGGTTGACATGGTTTGGGTGAGATGAAAGAGAAGATGGGTTCGACGCGAAAGACGCGTCAAGAAGCCCGAGGGTGGAGGTCAGGTTGACTTTTCGCAGATTATGATCAACTGTTACTGTTACAAGTATACATTCACAAGCTAACAGGTATATCAAGCAAGCATCAAAGAGTGCCCAAGAAATCTCACAACAACATCTAATATCTACACACTACAAACGGCCAAAGTAGTCTTCCATCTGCCCCACTTTGGTTTCCCATAGATCAACGACTTCGCGGTCTATCTCGTCTTTCCACATCTTTGCATGCAGCCTGAATCGATCATCAGTGCTGCCCAAATGTGAGGAGAAAGAAGAGGACATACGCATAGTGTCCATCGTGCAGTTGTTCTCGACGAGGAAAGTGAGAGACGAATTGGTCTTGCAGCGGTGTCCATGGATGATCACCTTCCCAGCTAAAGTACTCATTCAATAATGCCTATTGCCCCGTCAGCACTCTTTTCCATATTGACCAAGAAAGATACTCACTTGTTCCATGTAGAACGGATTATACTCTCTGACCCCTCTGAGCTCTTCAAATGTCTCTCCATCCGGCTTGACGAGCAGAAAACCCGCATTGAGATAATCTCTCACCTCCCCTTCTTCCGGTCTTCTCCTCGTATCATCTTCCGCCATCATCCCTTTACTCCTCTCTCCCATGCCACCCACACCTTCAAAACTTGATGGGACACTATCCCAAATGGGCGAGAGCGATTTGAGCAAGAGCATGTCGTTGTCGAGGTAGAGCAAGCGGGAGAAGGCAGTTTGGTTGAATATGTGGAGTTTGGTATATTGGTCCTTCCAGTGATGGTTCGCTTCCATACCCTCTGGTACCGGGAAACCGTCCAGTAATTCGACTTTTTTGACTTGCGCGCCTTCTCTCTCGAGCTGCTCGCAGATCTCGGAGGGTATGGAAGGGGTGGCAAGGACGACGAATGGCCGGGCAAGGTCGGCGGTGGAGGGGGAATGTTGGAGTTGCCACAAGAGCAAGCGGGTGGAGAGGAGGTACCAAGGGTCCACCACCGACGACAAGAATGTCACATACGCCTCTCTCCCCTCACCTTCCCCTCTCCCAGATTCTGACGAGGCCCAAGCGGGCCCCCAGCTATACTCGCCATTCCAGCTATCCGTCAATTCTGCCACAGACGCAGGGAGCGGTAGGGAGGAAGGGCCGAATGTGCAGGCGAGGAAGGCGAGGTAGAGGATGCTTAGGAGGAGGAGGGTGTATTTGAGGATGGAGGGGCGGCGGTCGGATTTGCGCCAGCGGAGGTCGGGAGAAGAAGGGAGGAGGGGTGAGGGTGATTTTAGCAGCACCATTGTCTTGTGCTGTGGTGTTGTGTGCTGGAAAAAGGGTGAGATGGGAGGGAAAAGAGGGATGGGAATGCTTACAAAGAGGATTTGTTGTAGCCCGCCTCGGTCTGCTCGGTCTAGATGTGGAACGATGCCCTTCGGCGAACAGCGGGAAGGGGACACGCGTGCGCAAATGCGGGACAAGGGAACGTCTAGAAGGCCCCCGGTTTGTCACAGATATACTGACTTGAGTGGGATGGAAGAAATGGAGATGGAGAACGAAGCGACGATGGACGACCTGGCCAAAAGTTGGAGCATGGACTTTCGAGAAATCTCACCACATCCGCAGTTGGACTAGGTTGAGATCTGGCGCGAGAGTCTGACGCACCTCGTCGATCAACTCGCCTATCCTATGAGCAGATCTAGTACTCGTTCTCGGCCCTCGCTTGCCCCTCTCTCTCTCGTTCCATCCGATGCTATGCATCTCCATGAGCGCCCCCTCTCATCTACCCCTCCCTCTATCTCCATCCCACTGATTGATAGACCGGCGGATTTACGGTTTGGGTGACAAAACAAGGTTCCGTTCCTGAAACCGTATCCACTGTCGCGCCACGATCCGCCATCAGCGGCATCAGCGGCATCAGCGGCCCCCGGCGGCCATCTCCACCATACAAGTGGTTGTCAGCCAGCCATACAAGATGGGAGAGGATGTCCAGGGCCTAGAGAGCAACCCCAGCTTGTTTCTGCGCAGGTCAAGTCCAATATCTCAACCTTACAAGTGGGCTGTTGCGGTGGGTACACCTCTATCAGTACGCGTACAATGGCGACTTCCGCTCAATCGCTTGCACAATGTAAGCACCATACCTACAGCCTGGACTTTGCCAGATGCCACCATCGCCATTACAGCCCGTCAACTGTCATGAAACACGACCATGAATGCATCGTCGAATGGTATCAACCTGGATTCCGGATTAGGCACCGCTGTTGACGCCGCGCAGCCGCCCCGCCCGGTCTGCCGAGCTCTTCATAAGGAAACCACCCTCTTCTATCCTCCTGCTCTTTCTTCATCATCTACCGAGTTTCACCATGGCAGGCCCCAGAGTGTTCTTTACCGGCGTCACCGGGTACGTCCCCCTCCCTATCTGCTCAGATGGCAGTGCTGATGAAAGCAGCTACATCGGCGGTACCGTATTCCAAACCCTGCTCACCTCCTCCAACCCCCCCTCCCAGATAACCCCCCTCATCCGCTCTCCAGAGAAAGCATCCCTCCTCACCTCATCCCCTGCTATCGCCTCCATAGTCCCATCCTCCACCACCCTCACCCCCCTCATCGGCTCCCTCTCCGAGCTCGACAAACTCCGCGACAGCTCTGCCGAAGCCGATGTGGTGGTGAACTGTGCCGACTTTGATGATCTGCCTGGCATGAAGGCGATGCTGGAGGGGCAGAAGAAGAGGTTTGAAAAGACTGGGGAGAAGGGGATCTTTATCCATACGAGCGGGACTGGTGCGCTTTACGACGACGCGCGGGGCGATTACCCTGGTAAAACTGTACGTCCCCCTTCCCCCCGCCTTTCATGTTTTCAAACTGAAATGAAGGAAGATCTACACCGACCTCGACCCTTCCTCCGACCCATCCACCCACCCCTCTATCAGCACACTGGACGCTACAGCCCCACACAGGGACGTCGACTGGGCGCTGCTCGATGCTGACGCCGAAGGCTACGTCAAAGCCTACATCGTCTACCCCTCCGGCGTCTGGGGATTCGGTCAAGGACCTGTTTTTGAGGAGGAACTGTCTTATCTGGTTTCGAGCCAGACGAAGACGATTACGCGGATCGCGTTGGACAGAGGGAGAGTGGGCGTTTGTGGTACTGGTCAGTCTTCTTCTTCTTCTTCTTCTTCCTTTTCTTCCTCTTCTTCTTCTTCCTTTTCTTCCTCTTCTTCCTCTTCTTCTTCTTCCTCTTCTTTGCTATTTTGAGTGATTTGAGGCTGATGAGAAGAGTAGGCGCGAATATCTGGAACCACATCAACATCACCGACCTCGGCACCCTCTACGCCCTCGTCTACTCCAAATCCACCTCTTCCCCTCCTTCCCTCCCGCACGGCCGCCAAGCCTGCTTCTTCGGCGCGGCCGGCGAATACACCCTCCTCTTCGCCTCGCAAGCCGTCGGCAAAGCCCTCAAAAAGTACGGCATTTTGCCCGATGCGGATCCCGAGCCGGAGCAGCTGGGAGAGGAGGAGGTGGTGGAGAGGTTTGGGGGGTGGTGGTGTGCGAAGAATACGAGGGGGGTGGCGGAGAATAGTAAGAGCATTGGGTGGACGGCGGTTGATAGTAAGCAGGAGACGTTTTTGGAGCATATTGAGGGGTTGGTCAAGTGGTATGCGAAGCAGCAGGGGTATCCTGTGAAAGAGTAATGGAAAGGACGAGAAGGGGAGTTTGTCCAAAGAAGACTTTTATGGCATAAGCATCAAACGCATGTATCGATGAACGTCTTAGGATCCAATGAGCCTTGAGGTGTTAAAAGCATGATCACGTCAGAAGGATAGAATGATGACCGGCGACAGCGCCTTGCAAATAGAGACTGTGCTGAAGCGTCAGAAGCGTATCCGATACTGATCGTTCTGCCAGATATTATTATACATTGCCTGTGGAAACGTTCTGGAACTAGAAGGCTTTGGACGAAAGGATGAGATGAGAATGATAAATGAGAAGGCGAGCTGCTAAAGGCATGTTTGTAGCCTGTAAAGAATGTCAGAATCCTGGTTCCGGAGTCTAGACAGAGAGCAAGACTCACGGGCATGTTTGACACCAATGAGTACGTTTCAGTAACCACCAGATCTTGCTTCGATATCTGCACAAAGAGTCAGCTCAAAATGCTATAGTCAGGTGACTTGGGGGACGAAACGTACCATCGTCGAACACTACCAAGTGCCATCACCACCCCCCACCCCCACCCCCACTACCACCATAACCTCCATCGTTACTGCTGAATCCGCCACTTCCCCCGTAACCACCTCCACCGCCGCCATAGCCACCTCCACCGCTACCATAGCCACCACCACCGCCTCCCCCGTAGCCTCCACCACCACCACCGCCTCGAGAGTTGGCGAGGTTGACTCGGACTTGTCGGCCGTCGAGGTCTTGTTCGTTCATAGCGGCGATTGCAGCTTCAGCCTCTTGAGGGGTACTGAAGGTCTGTAGAATGGAGTTAGAGGGAAGGATGACGAGAAGGATAAGAGAAGAGAGGGGAGGACGTACGGCGAAGCCGAAACCTCGAGATCGGCCGGTCTCTCGGTCTTTCATGACGATGCACTGTGAGGCTGTTAGCTTGGAACGATTGGGAAGGAGGAGAGGGGCGTACGTCGGTAAGGTTACCGAATTGGCCGAAAGTCTGTTCGACACGAGTATGTTTAGGAGGAGTAGATTTGGAAGAAAGAAGGAAAGAAGCAGTAGCGACACCGTTGCCGAGGAGCGGGTATGGTGAGAGTAGGATTTGTATGGCGAGTATGACGAGAGTGCCAGATATGGAGTGAGATGCAGACGATATAATAAGCACGCGGTACAGCAAAAGGGGGATGTAGACTGACTTGGCGGAGAAGCTCATCGTCGGTACCCCAAGAGAGGTTGCCTAGAGAGTCAGAAGTGTCAGCCACTCTCTACAAGGAGGGAAAGGAGAGGAGGAGGAGGCTCGTCATTGCCATCGGTCGATACGCACCAATATAGATTTTTGGAGTCAGACATTCTTGCGGCTTGGATTATTCGCAAGAGGTAGAGGGAGAATAAAAGAACAAGGAAAGAATTGAAAGAGGAGATGGGGTGTTTATATACTCGGCGAGACCCGCTGACGACCATCACTGTGTGGAATCGTAGATCATCTCTGTAACGCCGCCGGGTGTGGCACTCGCTCCACCTCACGCTTCCACATCATTCCATGCATCATCGTCCATCAAGGTACACCACCAGTCCTTTAATTGCCTGCCTGCGTTCTCGCTGGGATCGCTGGTGTGGGTTCGGACCCCGGTAAGCCGAGTGTGGCGTTTCTGATCCCGTGTCTTGATGGTCGCGGGTGGAGAGTAGTGTTGGCTGATGAGAGGGAGTTGAATCGGGTGGAGGGTAGGTGAAGGATGTGAAGCATAGCAGGCGAGCGGTAGAGCATATAGGGAGGTCCCAGTATCATTCTCCAGAGTACCATCGTCAAATATACGAGCTGCAAATTTAGCTCCCCGAGACCTCGTTCTCTACCGCGAGCACCAGGTATAGTAATCCACTCGACTGCTGTTGTGCGACCAGGGAGTCATATGGGAACGTCTGTTCCGTCCAATGAGATAGCTATGTAAATGAACGACACAGAGGATCAGGAGCCAAGTCAGCGCAGAAAAGCGGCACGAGCGAGGTAGACCTGGCAACATGGCTGTCGTAAGCCACATCGAAATCGAGATAGATGCATTGCCCCAGAGGCCCCAGATCGAAAGTTGGGTGAAAACGAAGCGGCAAAAGTACTGCCATGACATGCTATTCTTGTACAGTAGTAGTGATAAGCGCCCGTATTCCCGGCGCATGATAACGTGTAAAATGGACAATGAAGGATCGGGGCGCCTTCCTACCAGAACTGCCCGATCCATCATTTAAGAAAAGCACTGATAGCATGAGTAGCACTATAGCAGCTATCATGAAGAGGATTGGGGGCGAAAGAATGGAATCCGCAGAGCTCACCAGACAGCCTCCGTTGACGACTGAATGATATATTTGGCAGTTTTAACCTGCGTCGCGTCCAAAGTTCCAATTTTGTATTAGACGAGTTTTTCTAGCAACTCACGGATCAGAACAATGTACCAGCACTACTCTCACTATATGAGCTAGCAGCAAGACCTTTGACGAGCTTTAGATGCCCGACCAGGAGCTCGATTTGCGTGCATTCGCCTCGGAAGTTGGAGAATGTCGTATAAGGCGGGACGTATAATATGAGTTTGCCATCCTTTGAACCAGATTCATCCCCTCACCAGCTCATATCAGCTTCAGCTATGTCCAACGACAACCAAAGATCTATTCCCTAAATCACAATCTCCGGCTAGGACGGAGACAACGCCAACTTTGTGGCGACGGACGACAGAACTCGGATGATCTGGGACCAAGCTTACAGAGTCGCCGAAAGATTCGTATCTACCATTGACAAGAAATTGAAAAAAGGACGGCTTTGAAACCCCTATTTTCAGCACTTCTTTGGATGACGTGCTCGACAACCTGTCAGACATGACTGCCAAAGCGATCCGGTCAGAAATGGACAGTGACGCGCACGCTGAGGGCTATACAGAAGATAACGCCCTAAAAAAGGTGGCACGGAATATTACATTGTCCCAGCAGACAGGTGATGTGCAATTTTGGAATGCTGAGGTGGCGGGCTCAGAGTGGGTGACCTTTAGTAAAGCAGACTTCTTCATGTTGCCTACGGAGTTATGATTGATTGCTCCACCTCAGCGGTGACGATTCTATGCACAAGATGATGTCAGGAGCTCCATTGATCTGTTAAAAAAAACCCCTTTCTGGTTGGATTGTGCATACGCTGTTGGGGACCAAGCAAACTACCATTATGAACCGGGTGATACGAGTGTGGCGATTTGAGTCCCGTTGTTTGATTGCGGGGTGTCTGGAGTTGTGCTGTGAGACAGAACGGGCCAAATGAGAGGTAGAAAGGATGGGGTCTCTCAGTCATCACACGCACGTTATGCAACTATCGTTCGGTAGTTATACCAGCTGCGAACAGATGAAGCTCAGCGAGAAGCGGCCCATGTAAAGCTATTCAGGCACCGATGTCGTAAGCCACACCGGTACCGAGAGCAGGCAGATGAGCCGCATCGCCCTAAACACACCAATGGGTGCCAGACAAAGATAAGAAATCTGATAGATCTGAAAGGAGTCAAAAGCTTCATGAGATGCTGGTCGTGTGCGATGGTACGCGCCAAGTATTTCTGATCTGCAAGCTCCGCTGACCAAGAAAGGAGGATAATCGTGTCCCCCAAACCCCTTACTGGGCCGCCTCACAAAGAAATGTGGGCTGCATACATTGTATAGCTATCTTGAAAGCCCATGAGGGAACGGATATAGGAATCTATATTGTTCATCAGTGCAGCCTCCATTGAGACCTCGATGCACTAGTTGGTATTTTCAGCACGCGTCGCTTCCGAGATTCCGAGTCCGAGTGGGGGAAGGCTCTTGTGGCATACTGCGACTCAATACTAACACTCCTATTATCAGGGTCAACAGCCTGACATTTGACGGCAGTTAGATGTCCGACAACGAGCTGCGTTCGCACCCTCGTCTAAGGAGTTGGGAGATTGGCATATAAGGCCAGATGCATATGGGTTGGTGATCATTCAACATTCCCCCACCATATCATATCGAATCTAGTCATCATGTCCGACCACGACGAACGAACTCGACTGATCTCGCAGGAAGCTTCGCGAGTCACCGAAAGGTTTATGAGCACGATTGACAGAAACATAACAGCATCCGGGTTAGAGGCCCCCACTTTCCCTTCTCGCGACTCCGTAGTGGAGAAAATCGCAGATTGGGTGCAGACTGCGATTGAGGCCGAAGTGAACGAAGAGCATGACGAGAATCGGACGCTAGAGAACTCCCTCAAAGATGTGGACGTTCGAGCGAAGAGGATTGGAATATCCCAGTCAGGTGAGGTGCTTGTGTGGAACGCGAAGGTCGATGGCGATGGATGGTCAACTGTCACCAAAGCGGCCCTTATAGAGATGCCCCAAGCATATGTTGGCGTGACCTTCTTGGATTGAAATGCATTAAATGATGTCAGGAGCTCCAGAGATCCGTTGCTGTCTGATGTTCATGTTGGCTGATGAGACACTCTCGGGGCCAAGCAAGCAGCGAATATAATATCTGGGCACCCTTATTGTATGAAGATTTCCCTGGGCGACGAACACGGTCCTCTAACGATGATGTGCGAGGTAGGACTCATGTCACCAGCGTTGCCCGATCTGCTGAGATGATTTCTCATGCTACTTTCGTGTGCACAAAGGAAACCAGTGCATGTGATAGTTCTCGGAGGATTATGTCACTCGCGTCAGCAGCTGAGATAGAGGCCCAAGCAATTTAATGGGACTCATCTCTTCCCATGACACCTCAGCTCCATTCATCTGCCGCTGTGTCCCACCGGAATGCTCCCTCCACGGACCAAGGACGTCTCACAAGAACTCACTCTTCGTCGTGGGAATGAGAACAATATCGAGCAAGCATGAGGATCGTCCTACTCCCAGGGAGGAATCACACTAGACTGGACGAGCAGTAAAACCTTTGACTGCTGGTATTATACTTCGGATCAAACCTGACTTCTCACGTAGGAAAGCTAAACATTGATGGCATACAAATTGGAACGATACTCTAATTTCCACCACAACGCACATATCGAATTTCACAAACATCGACTTCAGACATGTCTACAAACGTGGGTCAAGAGCGCGATAGATGACGGAATCAAGAATGGAGAGCACAGCAAGGAGGGCTGGGCGGAGCCGACGCCCTCACGAATGTCGAATCGACCGCAGAAAGATTGAAGTGTCAAAGGCCACAGGTGAGGGGCTTCTGCACTATGCGAAGGTACATGGCGATGGATGGACAGTTATCGCCGCGAAAGACTTCAGAGAGTTGCCGGAGGCATGATGATGGCGTGTCTTCAATTCTCAAGACTGAAATGAGCTCCGCCTTTCACGTATACTCTTCTCAGGCCTCTCAGGACTACCGAGTAGTATGATGGCGGCCCCAAGCGCCGCACTCACTTCGTTGAAACCCAATGAGTGACTCTACTCTACCTGGCTTCTTTGTGCTATACGATACGCGTGCACTTTGAGGCAGGTGAAATTGATGACGTCCCGTGTGGTGATGATAATGATAGGATGGCACTGCACTGACTTCTCCAAGAGGACGCACCATGTCACAGCTGATTCGTGTGAGTACAAATCCTGAAAGGATGCGACTATCATTATGTGCTATCTTAACAATCGTTCAGTCATGTGTTTTGTCAGCATGTTCAAGTATCTATTTGCTGTGCGCGGAGAAAGCGAGGGCAGATACCTCCCATTCTACATTGTGCTTAGGTAGGGAGTCCCTATATAAAGGAATACAAGCTACATGATGTGACATGTATACCGGGTACTTCTCAACTCCAAATATAGAGTGATCACTGACCGAACGAAGCTGTCAAGAAAGAAGATACGAAAGGAACAGTGCCCAGGATACCAACGTCAACCACCGCACCTTTCAGTAGGTTCAAGCGTCCGACGGCAAAAGGTATAACATTTGAGGTAGAGAGAGCTGGCTGCTGACATATATAATGCAAGAAATACTCGAGTTGGACATGGCTTTCTTCAAACCATTTCTCACCGTTACCACTCGCGCACCCTCATAGCAAATTCAGACATGTCCGCCGAAGAAGAAACAGTCCCTACCCAAATCTGTAAAGAGGCAACTCAAGTCGCCGAAGAAGAAACAGTCCCTACAACGATCTCTGAGCACGCAACTCAAACCGCCGAGAGATTCGTGAACACGCTCAATAGCAATTTAGGAGCCTACGGCATTGTTGGCCCGGCTTCTGCCGGTGGTGGCGCGATGGCTGTCCGATCCTTGGCAGCATGGGTACAGTCTGCTATAGAAGCAGAGAATGCCGATGATACCCATGCCGAAGGCTGGACAGAAGACCACTCTTTACAGAATGTAAAGATTCAAGCTGGAGGCATCGCAATAGACTCGTCAGGGAGAGGCTGTACCGTAATTAATGCGACGGTACAGGGTGACGGCTGGGTAACGAAGGTGTCGCCGAAGAACATAGAGTTCAATTCCTATGTCGCGTGAGGGCCGATAAGAATGTCCTTCTTGTACGAACCAGATGCATCTGCTGTGTCATTGGTAATGAAAGGTGTATGAACTTCCACGGAAGATCTTCTGTATCGCACAAGCTAGGATGGGAAGAGGGGGTGGAATATGGGTTCTTGATGACGCCACTCAGCTCGTTGGTATATCAATACGGCTCTTCGTCTGGCGGACTCTCAATCATACGGATCGTGTGCACTTCACAAGTACTGCATCACTATTTCCACCCAATTCCATGAGGCAAGGAAACTTGCTTTATAGAACCTTTGAGACAATGCCAGCGCCCGCAAAGCGTTTCGCCGGGGGTACAATGTAACTCAACATTGTCCCGGTTGCGTGCTATACACCCCCGTGTGGTGCTTCGTTTCACCATCACGTTTCCGTGCCCGATACCTGACATTCTTCGAGATGCTTTCAGGCTTTTGTCACTATATCATAGTAGATGAAAGAGTGTGGGCGAGGAGGCGATAAGTGAGGAGCTAATGAGGAGGAGAAACTTTGCGATTGCGATATCGAAAACTGAAAGCAAAAGTTCGACAAGAGCCGGAGAGGGAAGTCAAAACGTCCTTTGTTGCAGTTGTAGCATACACTCACAAGCGATCATGAACCACGGATGAGACCCATGCCATTCCGTCTACTGGTGATTGTCCCCCTCGCCTCACAGCAGAGCATTCCACGATGTCTTCCTTCCACAGACTATACACCAAATAGACTTGGTATCATCCCCCTATGGTGGCTGCACTTGAGGAGCGCGTTGGCCCCTTGATGGAGGAGAAGAAGCTCGAGGCGTACGACCTGCAGCAGCTCACGGCGGTCGTACTGAGACAGAAGGGGCCAGAGCGGGGAGTGGCTTGGATAAAGGACAGAGACTTACATGAGGGCCTATGAGGGAGCGTTGAGATTTCCGAAAACATCAAACACCCAAACGCACACAAAGACGGGCGCGCAGCGAGTCGGCGACGACGTCAACGTGGCTTGTTGGCAGTCCTCATTCATCAACTGTGTTTTGTTGTGAGCATGAGCTATTCGATGCTGTCTGACATGCTTATCTAAGTCGAGGTACCATCTTCGGGATCCGTCCAACTGCAATACTGTAACGCCCATCCACACCATTGCGCGATGGAGTAAGCCGCCGCTGATGGTCGCGCAGGAGACGCGTCGAGTGAAGGATCGCCCATCATCCACCTTTTTCGTTACCTTTTTCGTTCTTCTCATCTCTCTTACGCTGCTCACCTAGCCGCACGACCACCAATCATGTCCAAAAGAGGCCTCTCCATGGAAGAGAAGAAGACCAAAAGTACGCCTCTCATCCCAATCAAGATCGGAAGGGTGGGAAGCGATTGACTGGACGCGACGCGACACGTCTGCCATGTCATACCGCGTCCTGCACATCTCCCACTAAGCTATGCTAACACTCTCTACAGTGGTCGAGATATTCCACGGGACGGTATCTACTTTCTATGCTGATAGGCGGGCTGGAGGTCTTGTGAGAAGGAAGGACTGACGATCGTCAAGGCAGAATTCTTCTCCCTGAAAGAACTTGAGAAGATCGCCCCCAGTACGTCTCATCCTCTACCCCTCCGCAGAGGTTTATCATCCCATCGTGTTACAAACTGACAAAGAATTGAAGAGCAAAAAGGCATCGGTCTGTACCACACCCCTTCCCCGGCTTACTATGCCGAAAAAGTTGATGGATTCAGACAGTTCAGCAAAGTGTGAAAGAAGTGTTGGACGACCTTGTCAGCGATGGGTTGGTGACTATGGACAAGATGTACGTCTCTCCCTCCTCCTACAGCCATGATACTCGGGAGCTAACTGGGCACAAGCGGTACCGGTAACTGTAGGCTCCGCCCGAAGATGGGGGCACAGGTCGTAGATTGATGCAGCGCAGACTATTGGGCTTTGCCGAGTGCTGCCGGAGCCACCGTACGTCTCCTGCTCCCGACGTTCAGTCATACCCGCTCTGATACATGACGCAGAAAAACGCTGCTCTCGCCAAACACAAAAAAGAGCTCGACAAGCTCGAAACCTCACTTGGCGAGACCAAGGCTGCTTTGGACGAAGCTGACCAAGGCCGTGAAGACACCGTACGTCTGATGTTTCTAATGCCTCGCTATCTCTCTTCCCACTACCTCTTTACTATCATCAAACCTCGTAGTCCGCCCAGAAACGGCTAGAGCTGATCACCCTCACAGCCCGAACGCCAATCCCTAATCTCCACCCTCTCCTCCCTCCAATCCCAATCCACCGCTCTCCAAGCCAAACTCTCCGCCTTCGGCGCCGCCGACCCCATCAAATACGAGAAGAAAAAGCAAGCCATCGATACGTGCAAGGAAGGGGCGGTGAGGTGGACTGATAATGTGATGATATTGATGCAGTATGCTGGAGGGCTGGGGGTGGAGAGTGGGCAGGTGAGGGGGTTTTTGGAGATTGGTAGGTGGAGCTAGAAAAGGTTGGTAGGTGGGTGCTGATTTGATGGGGGGTCGTAGACGAGGATTGGGATGATCTGAAGGTGTGATCGGCAGTCATATTTGGGAAGGGCAACAAGGCCAGCTTGCTGGTGATTATATAGGATAGTATCAGCGAGGGGTTCAGCACACATGGGACAATTCATCATGCCACACGTCAACGTCTCGAGTCTGATATCCAGTTCATTCAAGAAGAAACGTTTACTCAACCGTGTCCTACATTACTACCAGCCCTTTCTATCCAGAAAGCAAATGAGAAAGCGCCAACTCAAAGACAACTCTTATAGAAGCTTTCGATCCCTTACATATATTTATCTGTTCTATTCTTTCCCTTACTCGTCCAACTATAACATGTCTTCGCTCTACGGAAAGTCTCAGAATGTTAAAGCACAGTATCGGTTCCCCACGGGTTCGGCGGGAAGAAGCGCCGGATTCACTGTCTTACCGCCACCTCCTCTTTGTTACTATACCTCTCTTTCCTTGTATGCTGCGACACTTCATCTATTCCCGCTCCCAGGATTTTGTCTAGCGACGTGCGCCACAATCCCTCTCCCACATGGCTGAATCAGGCCCCTCTCAGCAACAGGCCGAAATCTACCCCTCCGACCTAGGTCATGACGCCAATCAAACCTTGGGCGGCCCTCTGCGTATGGTCCGTTTCGACCTCACAAGACCTCACGTCCAACGCTAGCTGGGATGAGGCTGTGGAGAGGAGGTAGCAGGCATTGGGGGAGCTTGAACTTGTCGGGGAGTTGGGGGCGCTGGGCGCTGGGACAATACTTTACATCGTCGAGGGAAGATTCTGGGCAGTGCGCTTGCAGTCAGGATTGGAATGATTCGAAGGAGTGATCTGTGGTTTGTCGATGTCTAGAAGCATGTCAGATAGTATCAGTGACCCTGCCCGCTCATGAAACATCACTGCACGCGTCAAATTTCCAGTCAGACATCCAGTCCATTCAGAAGAAACGTTCACCCAGCCTTATCCTACATTTCTATCATACACCTCTCTCACAGAACCCTTTCTATCCCTTATCCCTTCTCGACTTCTCAGACATCCTGCGCTTAGAAAGCAAAGACATCATTCGGCCTGAACAACGCCGAGATACTCTCTCCGTTATGCGTCCTCCTGATACTCTCCGCAATCACTGGCGCAATATCCAGCGTCTCGAGCAAGCCGTTGCAAGCCTCGACACGGGACGACTGATCGATAGAGTTGGTGACGATGAGCTTCTTGACGGGGAGGTCGCGGAGGTTGTCCATTGTTGTTTCCGAGAGGAGACCTGAATGACGTTTGAGCAGTGCATCTGCACAGGATGACAGGATACTTACCGTGAGAGATCAAAGCGTAAACCTCCTTGGCACCGTTATCCCTCAACACACCAGCAGCAAGACGGACAGTGTGTCCCGTGTCGACCATGTCATCGATCAAGATCGCCACCTTCCCCCTCACATCGCCGACCAGCAGCTCCATCTTCTCCACGATACCGCTCTGGTCATCCGCATCATTAAAGTACTCTCCATCGGAAGAAGACGAAGCGGAAGAGTTGGGGGCGGAGCCGACTGGGGTAGGGGGGACGGTAGGGAGACAGAGGGAGGCGGCCATGTCGCGCCGACGTTTACGGTTGATGAGGGCGAAATCCAGATTGAGCTGGTCCGCCAGAGCAGTCGCTCTGTTTCCATCAGCACCCGTTCCGGGACCTTCTTGATCAGAAGCTTACCTCTTGGCACCACCCGCATCCGGAGACACAATGATAGCGTCCCTCCACTCTGGGATCTCGGTCTTAATATATTGCATCATCGTTGGCTCGGAGAAGAGGTTGTCGACGGGGATGTCAAAGAAACCCTGGATCTGGGAAGCGTGGAGGTCCATGGTGATGACATGGTCGGCACCAGCGACGGCAAGGAGGTTGGCGACAAGCCTTGAATGAGGTCAGAAAGGTGCGAGCGTGGGGGAGATGGAAAAGCTCACTTGGCGGTAATGGGAGCTCGGGACTTGTCCTTCTTGTCCTGCCTGGCATACGGGTAGCAAGGGATGACAGCTGTGATCCTCTTGGCACTCGCCGTCTTGCAAGCTGCGGTCTTATCAGCATCCCTGAGGAATGCGAGTTCCGGTCCGATAGCCTCGGGGGAACATACCAGAGATCATGATAAGCAGCTCCATCAGGTGGTCGTTCACATCAGGAGGCGAGGGGGACTGGATGATGAAGACGTCTTCATCTCGCACGGAAGAGTGGATCTGGACACTGGTTTCGAGGGAGAGGAACTTGGAGACGTGGCAAGGAGTGAGGGGAATACCGAGTCTGGGAAGAGGGCATGAGCGGTTGCGCAGACTTTCGGATGAGATGGCCTACCTGGCAGCCACAGCTTCAGCAAGCTTGGGGTGAGCGTTGCCTGCATAGCCCACAGGTTAGCGTCCAATCCCATACCTCCTACACTATTTGCAGCTCTTTTGATCATAATTCACCACGCGACCAAAAAAAGACGCTCCCTCGCCAAGCGCTGGACCAATTTCGCCCAAAAAAATTCGACGTACCGGTCAGCAATTTGATGGAGTTTCCGATCTGGTGCATGGTGCTTGCTGGGCTGTGCTGGGCGGGCGAGGGGTGGTTTTTGTGCGAAAAGGTGGGGGTAATGCAATCAGAAGGCGGGGAAAAGTAAACCGATTTTTGGTTATCAGTCATTTACGTAACAGCACGTGGATCTCATGTTTGATCGGATCGTTAATGCGGTCATCGCTCATCATGTTGAAAGATCTATGCCACAGACTTGCGAACGGTGTTCGGGGCGGTATATATAGTTGTCTAGCTATGCCCAGCTTGTATACTATAGGGTGTTTCTTTGGCCAAAACACTGTGGCATCTCGGAGCAGACTGGTGGCATCATTGCCGCCTGAAGCCTCTACAACGCGTACTTTTATTCTCCCGTTTTCAGTCGTCTATGAACATAGCTCTTACTATGATAAGCCTGATCTTCTCGCATTCGCCTTTAACTTTATAGCTGTAGAATTATATAACCCTGGGCAGTTCGGCAGGAGACGTCTCCGGTAAGCGGCGGCGCCGTTTTATACATTTGCTTCCGCGTTTCTGTGGTCACAGGGAGTTGACAGGGGCACCTGTGTCTTCTTTATAGACCAAAGTGACCCGATATAAGGTATATCTGGAAATTGAATTCTAAACCTTAGGGGGCCATGGCTCCTTTCATGAAATGTTCATCATCCGCCGCTCGCTACTTCCCACATTTAGGCAGCACAAATGCAACGGTGATGCAGATCTTTTAGCATGCAGACAATGATTGATGGTGCAAGTGAACGTCCGAGCTGAGTACAAGTGGTTCATTCTGCTACGAATAATCTTGATGGAGCGTTTCCAGTCAAAATTGAGGAGAGGCATGTAGGATAGCAAAGCGGCACTGACATGCTACATGCACATGACTACTGCTGACTGCCCTACTCTATACGGCCCCACGCTCTTGTCACACCCCGATAGCCTTCACTGCTCGCCGCTAGTTTCCATTTGTGTGCCATACTGCAGGTCAGTTTGGAAATAGCCGTCATGACCAGACTGCACTTCTGGCATCGAAGCACCTTCAGATGCTTCCGCTGTCGTCACCCCTGAAGAGGACCACGCCGGCTGCCGCTGGTACCTTCTCCCGTACACTTCTGCCTCGCTCTCCTCGGTCGCTTGAACCAGACTCTCCATTGCGCTGAGCTGCATCTCCAAAAGGCGAATGCGTTCCGCCTTCTCCGCTGCCTGATGATTCTGCTCCTCTCTGACTTTTGACAGAGCTTCGATAGTGTCATCGCGGTCTTTCAACGTGCTAGACAATTCTCTGTTGGTAGACTCTAGCTTCTTCATTGTTTCTGCTTCTCTCTTGCGAAAATCCCCAGATGACCTTTTATCTACGACAAAAGTTCGTCACCGTCGACACACGCCAACATCAAGAAATTGACGGCAGGGAGAAATGATCGTACTCACTCGCAAGGAGCGTCCGAACCTGCTGCTCTTCCCGCGTCTTATACTTCTTCTTTGACAGATCGTCGAAAGATTCAAAGCGGCTCATCACACGACTGATCATGGCGTCCGTCGCGTTCTTCTTCTTCTGCCTTGATGAAACGGATGGACCCGACTTGTTGCTTGTATCTGAGCAGCCGCTGGACCGCGTAGAATTCTTTCGTGGGAGAATTGGCCTGGGCCGTCTGACAGCATCAGGGTAATAGGAAACGGTATCATCCAGTGGCTGGGAGGACGGCAAGAATGAATGTGATCCATCATCGCCTTGGCTAGGCCCGGGCAGAAGGAATGATCCTCCGTAGGAGGACGAAGGGTTGCCCACCTCTTCTTCTTCAGCCATGTTCTTTTTTGCGATGTAGCTGGGAGTGTATGTAATCGTATGCTCAACAGGAAATGCATGTCAATATATGTCGGGCTTCGTGTCATGGCACTCGCTGGGTTTGCTCGTTATCATATCCTCCTTTCGCCGCCAAATTCGAGGGGGTCAACAGCAAGGTTCCTTGCATGTCGCGTTCATCGCCCGCCAGGTTGTATTCCAGGAATAGCAGAGTCGAAATAGCAAAAGGTCGGTCCTGTATCCACACGGTGATGATAATGAGCTCCATACACCTCCGAGACTTGATTCCCCGCGGCTGCCGGGCTGATGGTGGTCAATCGAAGAGAACAGACCCGCGCTGATCTTTGAAACGGGTCAACGCACAGCGCATCTAAAACGGAGTTGGGCAGGATGTTGCGTACGGAGAGGATGATCAGCCCGTAATTCATTGACGAGGTCGTTACCAGTAGCTAGTGGTGTGTATGAATGAATCTCTCATGACACTTTGAGGCAAAGTGCACTTCATAATGCAGCATGTACACTGGGAAACGAAGATAATCATCATGTCGGCGAGGACCGCCTTGTTCGGTTTACCGATCCCTCCAATCACCGTCGCTCCAAATCACTTTATCCAGAGCACACCTCCAACTTCTACGTCCACCCTCGCCCTTTCTACCCGGATCGCTAATTCGACAATGGCATCCCCTCGAGCGTACCCCAGGGGGAGGGGATTCCTGCCCTCCAAAGCTTCCGTTATGAGAGTCTTGACGATGACTCAAAATACTTCGGCGCTGGTGTTTACGGTGTTTCTAGTACCCCATCTGGCGAGCCCCGTCATGGCTGCCATCGGCGGACTGGATGGTGCCGAGAAGACTATGGTAAGTCCTATGTGTTAATCATGTAAGACAATAGCTGACTCGGATCGACAGATGATAGCCCGGGATCTGTATCTTCCACTCGAACCGGTCCTAGTGTACATCCCCCTCGCGATCCACCTCACATCATCCCTCACCAAACGCCTCGTACTATCCACCAACCCCTCCCTCCCCCTCTCCATTCGTCTCCCCCGTCAAATGCACCAACTCCTAGCTTACCCCCTTCTCCTCCTCCTCATCCCCCACATCCTCACCCACCGCCTCATCCCCTCCTCCTTCGCCCCGCCCATCAGGGAGCTGTCACCGAGCGAGCTTGGGTGGGAGTTTGTAGGGTATGGGCTGGGGGATTGGCTGACGTGGGTGGGGTATCTGGGGTTGGTTGGTGCGGGGGTGTGGCATGCGGCTGTTGGGAGTATGAAAGTGGCGGCTTGGTTGCGGACGCTTCGGCGACGGCCTTCCACTCGTACCACTCAAACTAAACCCACTGTATCTACTGGTTCTGCTCCTGCAGCTACGAATGAGCAATCAAAAAAGAGGGTAGTACCGAGAAAACGAAAACTCGGCCTTCGAGGCGTCATCATCTGCTTCTTGGGTGTTGTCGCCTTTGGGCTGTGGAGGGTCAAGATCGATACAGGTGTAGTGAGCCCGGTGATGAGGCGTAGGTATGATGCTGTCTTTGACCGAGCACCCTGGGCGTGGGCAAGCCGTTTGCTGCTGCGCTAGAGCGGTTGAGGCATGAGAGTGGTCCATCACTGTTGTATAGCATTTTCGTAGCATTCAGATCGCCTGTGGATCTGACTTGTAACTACTATGACCTCTGCATATCATGTCTGCATGCTGCCACCGTATGGCTGCACTGCGAGTCCCGAGAGAAGGTGGACAGCATAGAGCCATTGCCATTACACTCTGCATTAGAATTTGGTCGTAAGCCCATTACAAAATCATGTTGTCGTTTTCTAATCCCGCGCGTCCAAGTGTCCGACTTTCTCTGACCTACTCCTCTCTCCCTCATTATCCTCTTCTCTGCCCATCCACCCCCCATCATGTCCCAGTCCCCAGCCCCCAACGGGGTCGCTGGCCCAAGCAACTCCGCCCCAGCCCCCGCCCGCCCCACAGACTCCAACCTCCTCCGCCAATTCGTCATGGAATACCTCCAATCCCACGGCTTCGACAAAGCCCTCGCCATGTTCCAGCAAGGCATCGCCGGGCAGGACGGTGATGCGTCTGATGCGGATGTCGGTGCTGGTACCGGTGCTGGAGGGGTCAAGACGGAGAAGGCAGGGGAGAGGGAGGCGATCTTTCGTGCGCCGGGGCCGGTGCCGTTGGAGAGCAATATCAAGAGGAATATCCCCCAGGCGCAAGCTGTCTCGGCATCCACCATGGCTGACCGTATAACACCCGATTTTGAGGCGCAGGCGAAATATATCATCGACCAGTTGCAGAAAAAGGTCGAGGCGGTTCAGGACGAGGGCGAGGAGAAGGAAAAGGAGAAGGATGTGAAGGATGGACCGCCGGTGGATGGGGCTCTGGTGGATGTCTCGGATAGGACGGGGGGGTACTTGAGCTACCGGAGATGGGTGGATGGCGGGCTGGAGATGTGGAAGGTGAGTAGAGCACTTTGGATGGGATGTCGCTGATGTCGGCAGACTGAGCTGGATAACGTCTCGTTCCCGATTTTCGTGCACACCTTCCTCGAGCTCATACATCTTGGGTTCCTCAAGACAGGTGAGTTCAAGCATACCTGACTGTGTCTAATGCCCTGTAGCCCGCGACTTTTTCACTCAACAGTCACCCCATCACGCACCCCTGCACCCTCAAGAGATCTCGACCCTCTCTTCACTCTCCTCTCCCTCTCAGATCGCACAAAACCCCCTCTGCAAGCAATTTCTCGCTTCCAAATTCACCATTCCTCTGTCTCGCAACGCCCACGACCTGCTACTGCAATGGCTTAGCGGTGCAAGCCTAGATGACGAGTGGGAGGCCGGATTGCACAGTGGACCGGGAAGACGGAGAGAAGCTGTCAAGTTGATCATTTTCAACCATGTCACTATACACGGTGCGTTCTTATGCTCTAACAAATCTACCAAACTGACAGTGGCTAGTGACGGACTCGTCAGAACCTCTCGACCATGTCGCCATCGCCTCCAAATCCGGCCTCCTCCCCTCCACCCTCCCTTCCAACAAATCCATCGACGCCTTCAACTCTACCACCACCCTCAAACTCGGTCCTCCCCCCATGACCGACAAGCTGAAAGAACAAGTCACCAGGACTCTGCAAGATGAGGCCGCTGCCGCTGCTGGGGAGGATGAGGGTATGGACGTCGACGCGCCCGCTGTGGAGGTCAAGATTGAGAATGAAGATATCGACTCTTCCCTCATCAGCCCGGCAGAGTCCGAGACACTTCCTCCCGTCCCTGCAGTCTTCCGCATCCCCGACCTCAAGCGCGAAGTCGAGTCTATCAAAGACCGGCGCAAGATGGTCCGTCTCGGACCGTCTGGTACTTCGGAAGGCAAGGGGACGTTGCCGAGTGTCGTAGCGTTTACGCTGTTTGACCATGGGGAGAATGCGTCGTCGGTAGAGTTTACGAGAGATGGGAGTATGATGGCTGTGGGGAGCTCGGAGAGTTGTATTCGGCTTTGGAGTTTGAACGGAGACAAGTTGAAGAAAAAGTCTGTTGATGAGGAGGGAGCGCTGGTAGAAGACGAAGGTCTGCCAATGCGCAAGCTGATAGGTCACTCTGGACCTGTCTATTCCCTCTCGTTCGACCCTCTTCCCTCATCGTCCTCCACCCCGACATCTCTCCTTTCTTCCTCGCAAGACGGGTCCATCCGTCTCTGGTCTCTCGATACCTACTCCAACCTTGTCGTTTACAGAGGACACGGAAGAGATCCCGTCTGGGATGTGGAGTGGGGACCTGGAGGCGTGTACTTTGCGAGTGCGAGTCGGGATAGGACGGCGAGGCTTTGGAGTTCGGACAGGGTCGCGCCTTTGAGGATGTACACTGGTCATTTGTCAGACGTCAACGTGAGTCTTATCCTATCTTCATTTTGAGCTCTACCAACTCTGTCGTAGTGCGTCAAATTCCACCCCAACTCTCTGTACTTGGCAACAGGCTCCACAGATACATCCTGCCGTCTCTGGGACGTCCAACGCGGCGCCTGCGTCCGCCTCTTCCTCGGCCACACCGACTCCATCACCACCCTCGCCATCTCCCCCGACGGCAAAACTCTCGCCTCCTCCGGGCTCGACAAGAGCATCTACCTCTGGGACCTCGGTTCCTCCCGGCCCATCAAAAGAATGACGGGCCACACGGGGCCGATCACGTCTTTGTCGTTCAGCCAGGAGAGCTCGGTGCTGGTGAGCGGGGGTACGGAGGGGGTGGTCAAGTGTTGGGATGTGAAGGGCGCTGGGGGGGAAGGAGGTGGGGTGGGTGGTGGGGTGGGGGGTGGGGAAGACGATGTGGAGTGGGGCGGGGGGGAAGGATGAGCATGGGGCGTTGCCGATGGGTAGTGGGGATGCTTGGGATGTGCCGCATACGTGAGTCGTTTGCGTACCTTGGGCTGCCGCTTTAGGTGCCTCTTGTCACATTGGCGTACTGACAGTATATCTAGGAGCGACTTGTTGGCAACCTGGCCGACGAAACGAACACCGATACTCAAAGCACACCACACGCCGAGGAATCTGTGCATGGTCGCGGGCAGCTTTGTGCCGCCTAGTAATGCTAGAAGAGCGTAGGCGGCACCCCTTGACCTAAGAGCTGTGCAGATGGTGGTAGGGTTGCGGCTGGAGATGTAGACATGGTCGTTTGAGAAGTATACTTGTATGGACATGATTTTGGTCCCTTCGCGTCCGTCTGTGAAAGCGGTTCTCAAGAAGAATCACGCTGCATTTGTCAACACCTGAAGAACTGAAAGAAAGTGTGAGTGTCGAAAGAACCAAAAGCCGGGAGGTGGAAGAGGGCGTAAGGGGGTTCATCGGGAGATACCAGACAAAGATAGAGAAGAGATGCGAGCAAGATAAGGGAGGAGATTGGGAACGTGGGGGGTGCAAGACCGCCGCTCAGTTTACATGACTGCGCTTCCTTGTCAGCATTCGAATACTCAAGTGTAGAAGCCCGGGAGGCGAGCCGTGGGGATGATGGACGTACGCGAACAGCAGCTGCCATTGTCCACGGGGGCGTATGGGTCTTCGCCCTTTGGAAGAGGGCCCCAGACGGAGGGGATCTGTGATGGATGTCAGTAGAGGCTACGGCATGGATGCTGGAGAGTGATACATACGAGGGGGTCCTTGTTCGAGCGACAGTGGTTGATAAGGCTGGAAAAAGCTGCAGTTAGCTCCCGCATCTCGGTCGTTCAACCTGCTTCCACTAGCCGTCTCCTCCTCGCCCCCACAGTCTCCGCTTTGGATTCGTATGGGAAGAAGACTCACTTCATACTAGCGACACTGACCATCACCCTAGGCCTGGCGAGCTCCTCCCGCAGTCTTTGGTTGTGCTCGACTAGCCTTCGGAGCTTGAGCTCGTGCATGGTGCCTTTGTTGGCTCTGCTGGACATGTTTGAGGGGGTAAGGAGCGTGTGGGAGGAAGATATAGTAAAGAGTAGGAGATGAAAGAGAAGAAGAGTAAGGGAAGGATAAGACAAGACTGGGCGATTGGTGTGTGATGGGATTCATCGTCTGTGCTCAGGAACAACAACGCATGATACCCAACAGCAAGCCTGCCACTATCCGCCGTATAATCACTGGCGTCTTTGGTGGTAGGAAATCTCATGACGCCCATTATTCACATGAACAGGACGCCTGGCGGAAGATCTACTCTTGTCCACGCTGCAAATAGTACATGATCCTGAGCAGAACGGAGCTCGACGGAGGAGCAGTCTTTTTGTGCGTGTTTTCCATCGTTTCCATCATCAGTCTGGGGCTGGTGATAACTATTACTTCATAGTTCGAGGATAATAAAAGATCTGCTACTCTAGGTAACAGTACACATCGACATTAGCGAGTGACTGCGTCGAACATAAAGTAGTACCTTACAGCAATCGAGCTTGGCTGTCTGTATTGCGCCTTCATATCTGCCGAACATTATGCCGTCGCCACCAGTCGCAGAAGGAGAAGTACTTGAATACATACTAAACCCCCACTCTGAAAACATCTGTAAGGACTCTGTACAGCTCTGAAACGCAACGTTAACGTGTCCTACTATCACTCTGTACAATGGAAAAGATTTCAAGCCCCTCAGTCGACAAAGGATCTGTTTCATGCTTGATTCAAATGAAGCTGGACGGTACAAGTGCGAAGAAAGGAGTTGCCTTATATGGGAAACGCAGAATACCTGGAAGGGCGACTGGTCTGAACACCACTTTCCCGACCATGCAAGCTACGTCTGCGAGCTGTGTAAGTCCTATTACGGTAGGTGCCGTCTGGCGAGGATGGGCATAAGCTCACAACTGAATGCGCATCACCGTAACAGGCTATCATGTCCTTATGGATCTTATGGTCTATCACAGCCATCTGCTGGTGAAGGATACCTCGCAGTGGGCGGCGACTCGGGGGTATTATTCGGCAACGTCGAGCTCAGGGATATCGGGATAGTTCCTTCCATTCAGCACATATGTGATTCCTGATAGATGTTGTACACCTTGAGACGTATACAAGTACTCAAACTAGCCGATTTTTCGCTAAGCACCAAGATGCTCTGACATGACACAGGTGCTTAGTAGAAGGGCGAAACTCAACCACAAGACGAACCTCCATGACTCGCGCCGAACGACGAGCGCACGAGAGGGAACGTGGACGGTGCAGCAGAAGCTTTTGCATTCATTCATCGCATGTGTGTGATGCCTAGAGATTGGCCTTGAGAAGCCTCTATAGGTATTTACACAATGTAGTAGGCCATGGGGCCATGGGACGTGGAGGCCGCGGGGATTTGGCTGTTCAGGGTTGCTCTGTGGCGTGTGTGGGATTCAGGATTCTGATGCGAGTTGACCGACTGATTATTTGTCATCCCGCCTACCCCGACCTGGCTTCCTGGGAAAGCTTATGCATGTATCGGCTCACTGTATACCGGTAGCCGCCACTGTGTCATCTTCTCAGAGTCGTTCGCGCGTCAGCGGCAAGTGTTATTATCAATGCGAAGGAGCGCCTCAGGTGTCAGAACCTCGTTGGTGATGTCTCTCCTCGGCCTCGGTCCCGTTGCGGACTGATTGCATCACTGTCAGGACAATGCGAATGCATTCCAGAAAAACATGAAAAAGAGCAGACATCATTCATCTCCCGATGCGATACATATCATTCAACGCCCAACATTGTGCGTTCCGATGTCTAATTTGGCCGGCACCGGTGAGTTTCTGGCGCCCTGCAGTAATGCGCACCCTTCCGTGTCACTAAAGTCGTATCTGCATCTAGTGTTCAACTTCCCAGTCACTGTTCAACGCCTTCTATTTGTTCTTGATTCGCCACACGCCAATTATCACCTGTGCCAGTCACCAGCTTGCTTTGTCTGGTTCGTCCAAAATCTTTGGAATGGCGACTTTTTCAAGGAGGAGACCTTGTCGATACAGGGAAGATACACCTGCCCACGCTGTGAGCAGTACATCTGTCATAGCTGCATGGGCTGATGCTGACTCGCTCGGTGTTCTTCAAGGCGACCGGGCGTTGATCACGATAGTGAACACCTGTCCCTACATGCTGTTCTGCGACATGCGTTCCTGGCTTGAAGCCAAGCATCGGGAAAGGGAACGACGCTACCGCCAGCAGCTACAACAACAGTCAAGGTGGCGACACTAGCAGTTTTACGAGCTGAGCTGGACTTGAAAAGAAAGCCGTCTCGTTTCTCTCAGCATTGTGTGGATTGATTGCGTTTACTTACTTTGACGACTATATGACCTGATGAATATCATTGATGAAAGGTTATAAGCCAAACAGTGATTGCCTCAATCTCATGCGTCTTGAATCGGGAATTGTCGGAAGAAGCACTGTCCTCAACACATGCCATATTATCCGAAACGCCTCCCCTGACTGTGGTACGCGTACTAAACAATGTCGGAGCATAAGTGGGTGTTTAAGTTCTCGTGCTCTACGATAGAGGCATAGGGGTGAATCTGCAGCGTACAAAGTCACCGGGCCATCGAATGACTAGTTGACCGGGTTGACCGACGACACACTCTGGTGTATTCTGACCAGATCCTGCAAATGCCAGTCTGCCCCCAATTCGGATATAAGGCTCGGGTCTCATTACACTTGTCTGGATTGTGATTAATGCGGCAGAAAAGGCATAGGACTGCTGTGGCGTTTACTATATGATTTGACAGCGGCTAGCCTGTTGTTGTGGCTTGTGCGATCGATCAACGATTTCAGGCGCTAGGGTCACGTTTCCGTTTCGTCCATGAGCGTTCGTGCTTCATGTATTCGCTCCTGAATGCTATTCCTTCCATAGTCGCAGACGCTTACAGCACTGTACCCTACGAAGAAGCCGCACCCTGTGGGCTTCAGACCCCTCACCAAAAACATCATTCACCATCCAAAAGTCGATGTCTACGATCCATCTCTCTGCGACAAGGGACTCCGTCTGTCACATATCATACATCTATATCCTCTATCAAGGATGTATTGAATGACCCAATCTAATCTCCCTCTTCTCCACCCTTTCTCCTCCTCATCTTCCTAGCTTCCCTGTGCCTCCTCTTCCAACCCTGCGTCAAAGCCGCCTTCTCTCCTTCCCATAGCGCCTTCATAGCTTTCGTATCCTCTCTCGGCTGGGAGAAGAAGCCCAAGATAGGAGGCTCTTCGCCTTCAGGAAGGTCTGGGTGGAGTTGAGAAGGATGGAGACGGGTGCGATAACCAGAATCCTGAGTCTGGCCCCAACCTTGACTTTGCGCATCGCCTCCCTGTCCAAAGCCTCCTTGCGTCTGTCCTCCACGCGCTCCATGTCCTCCTCGTCCACCGTAGCCTTGCTCTGCTTCCTCCACCTCGGGCTTGGGAAGACCAAAGAACAGCTCATTGAAAGCATTCCTGCTCTCGCCCTTCTTCCTTCCCTTCTCCCGCTCAGCCCCTTCTCTGTCACCAGGCAAAGTGAAGAACAAGGGCGTCTCGCCCGCTGTCTCCAAATCCAGCTTGACCTTGCCGCGACCACCAGCCACCATAGGCAACGGCTGAAGCTCATCCTCACCCTGAGCAGGGCGAGAAGGGCCAGAGATGGAGGGCAGAGGGATGTCAAAGTCGTCATCGAGCTCGACATCTGGTGCGAGGTTGGCGAGAAGTGAGAATCCTGCGCCGTTGGTAGCTGGGGTGGACGACGGGAAACCGAAAAGAGAAGTGGATGTGGTGGTGGGAGCAGGGGCGAACATGGATTTGAGAGTAGAAGGTTGGGCAGGTTGGTTGACGGCGAGGGGTTTGGCAGATGCCTCCTCATCCGAATCCGACTCTGAATCGTCTGAAGAGTCGTCCGAGTCTGATTCAGAGTCCGAGTCCGAGTCCGAGTCCGAATCCGAATCCGACGACGACGAATCCGAAGAATCATCACTTGAATCGTCCCCAGAACCAGAGCTTGACCCACTTCCTGATCCACTGCCCGACCCCTCGCTAGAATCTTCACTAGACTCCTCGCTTGAATCATCACCGGACTCTTCCTTCTTGTCATCTCCCGCAGGCTTGTCGACATCCATTTTCTCGTCCTCCGAGCTCTCATCGCTCCCGCTTGACGACGATGACGAACCTTCGGACGAGTCTGACGACTCGTTCGCCTCTCGAGGTGGGGGAGCGAAATCAGGCTCCTCGACTACTATCTCCTCGTCATTCTCTACAACCGACTCGGCCGGCACCTCCTTCTTCTCCTTCTTCTTGCCTCGTCCAATCTCCACCTCTCCATCTTCCTCGCTGTCACTCTCCTCCAAGAAGCCCTTAAAACTATCCCTCCCGAGTTTCTCCCTCTCCGGTGACACTTGGAAAGAGTCGAGAAGACCGCCCAAGACAGAAAGAGCCGCGGTCTTTTCTTGCTTTGCTTGATGAACAAGAGGTTTGGGTAGGGAAATCGCCGGGGGAGTTGGTAGACGAGTGGTAGTCGGGACGGTTGCTTCCAGCTCAGGCTCGGGGGACGAAGAGATAGGGGTATCAAGCCTCAGAGAAGGAGGACGAGATGATCGTGCCGCTTGGGTAGAAGGCGAAGGGCTTGCAGAGCGGGGAAGGTCGCGAGTGGGGAAAAGAGGGGATGATTCGGCAGAGGATGTCTCTTCCGGTTCTACAGATGCTTCGACGGCTCTAGAGGCGAACAAGGGAGAAGACTTGGCTTCGACCTCCTCCTCATCTGCCTCTTCAGCAGGAGGAGCTCGGGAGGCAAAAAGGGGAGATGTCTCCCTCTCTTGTTGGTGAGATGGGAACAGGGGTGATGCCTCTCTCTCTTCCCGATGAGAAGGGAACAGAGGCGAGGACTCGCGTCCGGTGGGAAGCTCTCGATGACCGAAGAGGGGGGTGCTGGCGGTGGATCCAACGGCAAAGTCGTCGAGAGCGAGGTCGATACCATAGTCGAAGTCCAAACCATCGCTCTCCACCCGTCTCCTCT